GCAGTTTTTGATTTAAAAAACATTAAGAAGCTAAGTTATTTTTTAAAAATGGGGGGGGGGAGAGAACAATAATGCCATTTAAAAAGTCCACGTTGTTGTTGATGTCGTTGCTCTGTAGAGAGAGAGAGAGAGAGAGAGAGAGGCCCCCAAATCTAAGTGAAAGGGGGCAGCTGACTCCTCCTCTTCCTCTGCAGGCTCTGTTGACTGAAGCCTCTCCCTCTGGGTCTCCCAAGTGTGGCTATAGAAGCTTTGCCATTTAACTTTTAACTTTTGTTGTTGCCCTCTTGTACTTTTTTACTTTTTATGGAAAGTATGTTGTCATTGTTCACTCGTAACAGATGATGATCCTTGTTGTCAAGAAGAGAGAGTGGGTCATGCCTTCCCTTGAAGAAGCAATTCATATTTGAGTTGATCCAGTCAGCGCCTACGTGGACACAAAACAATGCTGAGCTGGCTTGACAATAAGGGAAGCAACACCATGGAAGTTCGATTCCAAAAGTTTTATTGTGTACCAACCAGGAGATAAAAAGAAAAAGTAAGAAGAAGGAGAAGAAGAAGAAGAAGAAGAAGAAGAAGGAGAGGGGAAATAATGATAAAATTAACTCTTTAAGCACTTACTTAGCGTACAATGTAGGAACCAGGAAAGTGGGGGGGGGGTAATAAAGGAGTAATAAGGTGCTAGGGCGTAGTAGGGTAAAATCTAAGGAAGAATCACCCCCAGATTTCTCCACATCTGGGTGATGTGAGACAGACTCACACACACTCACACACACACAAAACCAGAAAACGAAGAAAAAGATAGAGAAAGAGAAAGAGGACAGAACAAGGGGGGGGGAGTGGGGACTACTCCTCCCAGGGGCACAGGTATGGATGTATAATGGGTGGTTCGTTCATCCACCATGGCGTACCAGTGGTACCCACCCAGCAGCAGTACAACTACTACAAAGCAGTAGTAGAAAGAGCTCTAGAAGGGGATGGATGATGATGATGATGACGCTGGGGTGTGTGTGTGTGATGGATGGCCTTGAGGTTGAACTTCAGTCTGGGTCCAGCTACGACACCCATTGATATAAAAGTTCCATCACGGAATTAACGACGTGGATGGATGGCTGATTTTTTCATACGTGAACGGAGTATTGAATGAATGGATGTTGTTTGAGAGGATGGATGATGTTTTGAATGAACCCTCAATCTCACAAAACCACACTCACCCACATAGAGGAGAGTGCTCAACTGTTGCCTGTGCTCTCCCCCCCCCCTCTCTCTCTCTCGTGTTCAAGAAAAATAATTAGTTGTGTGTATAATTAATGTGAAAAAGAGAGCATAGAATGCAATGAAAGATGAGAAATAACAGTGAAAGAGTGGATGATAACATCGAATGTAGATTGCAAACACGACAGGCTTGGATTACATTATTATTTTTCTTCTTGTAATGTTCATTAGTGTGTAATAGGTATGTAGAACCTTAGTGTGTAACTACAAACATGCACACCAAGAGAATCAACAGAAGTGATATCCTGATTGGGAGATATCTAATAGTAGTGTTAGTGATAGAGTTTAAAGAGAAAAAAAGAAGAAGTAAACTTTTGGTCAAATGTGAATGTAATTATTGAACACTGCATAAGTTCCGAATGCACAATTCCAATTCTGAATTGCATGCAAACTGCCTGTGTTTTACCAGACCGCCCACCTGCCCAGGCTGGAGAAGGGCAGTGGAAAAATAATCTGACACGTGGAAGTCAAAGTCCGATGTTGCTGCTGTCAACTACTGCCAAGTGGAACTGTGCAGACGTGGCCAGTTCAAATATAAAATGTCAACCACACAGTCCACAGAAATAAATAAATTAACAGTGGGAAGAATTGGGGCTGTACTGCTATAGCAGAAAGTGAAGAGAGAGAGGGGGGGGAGGGGGAGAGAGGGTTCAGGGGATTAGGGTTTTGAGATTAGGGCTTTGAAGGGTGGGGCTTCCTCGTAAGAGGGGCAGCCAATTAGGGTGGATTATTAGGGCAGAAGGGGGAGGAGGGGTACGTTTAAGACAGAGAGACAGGAGGGGGGGGGAGAGGAGTTAGATGTTGAAAATCAGAATCAGATTTTGGCAACAGGGGGGGAGTACACAAGACAGGGCAGGGACAGGGGGGCAGGGGACGGGCAGGGAAGGGCAGGGCAGGAGGGGCAGGCAGGCAGGGCAGCTGATCATAATGTGTGGGGTGATGGGGCAGAATGGGCTATCATCACCCACCTCCCTCATCAGGGACTCTTTCTATCTTTTCTTTCTCTCCTTTTCCCTGTCTGTCCTATTTTCACCCCATTCCCAAATCCTAAATTCGTTTTCCTCCCCCCCCCCATTCCACGTCATCATATATATATATATATATATATATATGACAAAATAGTGGGGGATTTTCTACTCTACTTCTATTGACTAAAATGAAATGAAAAATAAATAAACAAATCCATAACTTAATTGAGGAAATTGGAATGTTGGAAGAGTTTGTTTTACGATCATAGTTATTAGCATCAATGGTGGTGGTAGTGGTGGTGGTGAGTTTTTGATGAGATGCTTAGATAGTGGCAAGTTTTTTGGGGCAGAGATGTTTTTAAAGAAGGAGAAGAAGGAAGTAAATGTGGAGGACATGTCACTTAAACCTGTTAGCAAGTCAATTACCATGAAGAACACTTCTAATTAATGACAATAAAGTGTTGTGTGCTAGTTGACGAATGATTATTTTCTTTGTTTTTACTATAGCGGTTTCGAAAATTAATTCAAAATACAAGTATTCTAAATATTGTTAATGAACTATGAGATTTTTTGCTCCAAAAACTATGAAATTTTACCTTATCCTCTGTTTTAAATATGGTCTGGTTCTTTAGAATTTAAAGTTCGAAGTTTGTACAAGTGACTTATATATATATAGATATATATATATATGTACACACACACTCATACATACGTCTATTTCAAATCTTAGCATTCAATTTCAGATTAAAATACCACTTCTTTTCATATCTGTGAATTAGTTACTCTAATTTGCAATTGTACAGCACATATTTATATGAATAGAAATAAATAAATAATGTGTTTATAGGTATGTATATATGTATACTCTTTTGTCCTTACACTTTGATATTTTCATGTTACTTTTCCAGTTAAGATCCCCTAATTCTTGTGTTGGTTCCCTTATTTCTTTTACCTCGAAATAAATAAATAAATAAAATTCTTATACTCATATTAACATAATCTTAGCCACACTAACACAGTTTAGTTAACTTATTACTTTTTCTAAATTCAATTATAGCTATTTAGTATGTATATATATTTACAAATAAATAAATAAATAAATACATGTCTAGATGAAATAAAAACACAACTACAAAACTATATGAATATGTTGTGTTCATGTCACCGCTTCAAATTCACATTCTTCAGAAAAATAAACGCTAAATCAATGAAGAAGAAGATTATTTCAAAGGAACCCACATCATCCAAAGGTGCAACCCTAAAACGAAGACGAAGAAGGAGAAAAAGAAGCAGATAATTAAGGGGAAGGTTCTAGATGTTGGGACTCAAGCCCTAAAATCTACTCTTGTACTGTTGTGTTGGTGATGGGATTGGGAGCTTGAGGAAAACATGCAATGCAGGAGGGCTCTGATTGGCTGAACCCCTGTCAGCCACGTAGACTCTTCTCCTTGCCATATGGCAGCTGGGTTTTGGTGACAGCAAGGTGCCCTGTAGATCGTCTCGCAGTTGTCCATCAATAGGAAAGCTTGCTTTAGTATCACTCTTTCAAAACTATTTACACACAACACAAAAAAAAATAAAAATAAAAAAACTTTACTATCATTCAAACATCAAAATTTCTTATATCAAAAATAAGAATCATTTTTTTTTCCCTTTAATTTAACTATTTTTTGGGCAGGGGCTGGGGACACTGGGCAGGGGGCAGGATGCCCTGAAAATTCCTCTGACAGTGGAACTGATGCCTAAGAGATCTGATTAGCTCCTAGTGGGGAAAGACACCCACTCCGGACAAATAGAAACAGACGAACAGATTCGGGAGCAAGACATCCAACATGCATTCATCCATCCTTTGGAAAACCAATCACCCATGTATTGAAAAGCAATGCAAAGGAAAAGACTTGGAAAGAAAACAAGAAAGGAAAAATAGAAACACAGAGACCAGAAATAGATAGAATGAGGGTGACTGATCATGACCAGCGTCACATTCGGCAGTAGTAGTCAAGTGTAGACTTCAGTTATCTTTTTGCAGTTTTTTAATATTTTAATATTTTAATATTTTGTTTTGTTATTGTGTCAGGATAGATTCTCCATCTGCTGGAGTCCCACCAGTTGAAATCTCCATCAGTCTCACAAGAGCTTTTCTTATCAGTGGGCCTGTTTTCCTTCAGCTTCTATTATTTTACTGCCCTTGGATAATAGAATCCACACCACCAATTCACCCAGTGTCTTCAGCATGAGTTTGCAATTCGAGTTGCTGAGTTGTATACCATTTCATCACATTTAGACTTCGCTGTGTAGACCCTGGCTTTTACACGACTCAAAAACCGTGAACTTCTACTTTCAGTCAAATAGTCCAAAAGAGGAATGTTTGATCAAGTTCATACCCTGTTGTTAGATTGCGTAGCGTCTGAAACCTGTGAGGCGGGTCAGTCTAATATTGGAACTTGGAAGAAGTGGGTAATCAGTAAAACTCGAACTTGTTTCATGGACAGAAGAGAACTTGGAAAGAAGAAGGATTCAGTTTTGGTTTGAAGGAGATGAGGTTTTTCGCGCTGTGAACTTATGACTCTGAAAAGTTTAGCATGTTCCGCGTGTAGCGCTGACACATTCGGGCCTGGAATGGAGATGAAAGAAGTGGCAAAGAATGCAGACGACCCTTGGAACGCAGCAAATTCTGAATAAAGAATTGAGTCAAGAAGCTCAGTTGCGTGCCATCGTTTCAGAGATCAATCATGTCCAACAACAGTTGTTCATAAGGAATTGTGTAGAACGTGGGAACTTTTACTGCGCGGATAATGATCTTTTATCAATACGCCTGCATTTCACATGTGAATCATTGTCCCAACGGGTTAAATGTAATGCAACTGAGCTTAAATTTAGTCCCACTTGAGAATAAGAGATTATGCAAATGCTGCTCAGAATAATCAAGATTTTCTACTCATTGTAATAAGTTCTACGCGAGCCGAACTCGTATTCAAGGCTAGTTACTATGCAATCGAGCTAAAACAGCGAGTTGCTTGGCATGGTCTTCCACACATACTCACACACGCCTTCACCTGTAAGGATTGAGAAACACGATGTTCGTTAATCGAGTACTACTATACTCATTTTCTGCGGCTCAGAGCCATGAAACATTGCGTCAGATACCATGTTATCCAAGAAAGGAAAGAGAATTGGGTTAGTAGACGTGCCACAACATAGCTGCAGCTGGTATTCTGGGGGCAATCGCAAGGCCAAGACTCAATGCAACTCCAAGCGCTACGTGAAGCCGCACGCAATAGTATTTGGCCATGAAGATCACGGTTTTGTTCTGTTCCAAAACATGTGAATGATAAGGTCTACAGCATGGCATTTGAAAAGAATTAAAGAAAACCAGTAAACATTCAAACCATTGATTACTTAAGCGCAACGCTCGAAAAATCTTCGGTTGTATGTTCATGATTTACAACGACAATGGAGCAGAAGGTGTCGTGCATCATACAGCGTGATTCTTGCCAATAAACTGCAACACTAATCTCCCAATTGGCACCGTCAATAACGAGAGAGCCTGCATTCGAAGTATGCACGGATTTAGTGGATTTGGTGAGCTTCAAAAATAGAGATTATTTTAGTCATGAAGCGGTAATTCGTAAATCAGCTGATCATCATTTAAATGGAAGTGAATATTCAGGATATATATATATATATATATATAAATAAAAGTTTCTGAGCATGTTAGCATTCATAAAGCAAAGAATGGGAACTAAAGTCCATGAAAGCTTTCTAGGAATATCTCAGTTCTGTGAAAAGTTAATAATCCTAACGACAGCAGAATCAGTGTATTTGAGAAAATTCGTAAATTGAACGAAATACAAGACTAATGTAACTTACAAAACAGGTTACGGGCAAAGCCTTGAGTGCGGTGAGCAAGGTGATAATGGTGTAGAGTGAAACCACCGCCGCCTGCACCACTTTTGACCCTTTCTCTGTGCCAAGCCTTACCTGAAGAAGTCCATCGCCGACAGTTAAATCAAGTGTCTCCGACTCAGACAATTCTTCAAGATACAGTGGTAATCCAAAGCCAGAAACTCCTAATCACGAAAGTGTAGAGTGAGAATAAGAGAGGTACCAACGGAGACATTTTTCCCACAGAGAGGTCCCCGTCAATCTGTTGAAGGAAAATAACAAATATGTTAAAATTCCATGTGTTCAGGAGGGATGAAAAAATACATTCATCAAGTCGCAAATTAGTACTCAGATGTAAGTTGTATTTTTTGTCTAACTTCAAGAGGATAATGAGGTGGAAAAACAGGCTAGTGCTTTACATGTGGATAACAGAATATTCGCTACGAATTGCTATGGCAATATACCACTTTGGCTACTATCCATTCACAGTAAAGATAACCAAACACAAATGAATTCTGTCCCCTACTCTGGAGCAACCAGAAGGGATTGTCGGAGAATATTCAAGTCGTCAAAGATTCATAGGCTGGAGTATGGATTTCCACACCTGATGAAAGTGGCTGCAGAAGAGAATGAGTGCAGTTGTGATCCCCACAAGCACCGCGGCTCCCAACACGGTCGGCGTCACAGCCAAAGCCCCTAGTTTACTGTCTCGAGTCAGACCTTAGATCAGACGACTTGGATACAATTTATTAGAAGACCAAATTTATGTCACACCTTGAGAGAACATTGACTTCTTAGCTACCGAAAAGAATCGTTTAGCTTGCAATGCTGAAGTCATTTATATTGACAATATTGGCAATTTAAATCATGACTTTTGAGTGGGCCCATGTTGAATGATTTGATATCCATGTATCATGGTGATTGCCCTTTCGGTAGCGGCGATACATTGCGAGCCATATGAGTTCAGTGGAGGAGTACGTCCAGCATACCTGGCATGACACAGATAAAAACCAGTTGTGGCGAGTGGGCCAAATGCCACGAAGCAGAGTGGTTCGCCGAGGCCTTTGTAGCTCAGCCGAAATGGAGGACACTGCAAGAGATACTCATGTCGGAGATGCTAAGAATCCACAGAAAGACCACTAAATTGGACTTAAAAATGCGGCGGACCAAACACTAGAACCAGTCACATGGTATGTCACGAAATTCAACTGTTCCTTGCTGTTCGACCATTTAGTGTAAACTGTAATCATTTACCATCCCGTTTACTTATTCTTCGTATTCAACGCTACGGCTATCAAGTGTACCACCCACATTCCAAAAACAACGGATATGAGCTTGGAAGGAAGCGGACCTGATAAACATAACCGCAAAGAATAGCAGCAGAAAAGAGAGCAACGACTCGCATGTCTCCAATTTGTTGCGCAGCTTTTACGATCCCCATAGCCCCCAAAACAAGACATGCATATGCAGCACTGAGTACCCCTCTCTGGCTGCATGATCAATCAGCCACATGTGAGCACAGACATAGGAGAGACGATGACGATGTTGCACGAACCACAGCTGCTGAAAAAATGATACAATGTTGCTGGGAGTTTCAGAACAAAACCATAGTCTGCGTTTCCTTTGAAACTGTAGCTTGCAGAAACAGCTGAGAAACTAAAATAAAATAATTTTACCTTCCAGTGATGTTCACGACGGATTCCTTCTTGCCCTTATCCACACCTGTCTCCGCATCGTAGGCATCATTGCTGCAGAAACATCATGGGAAAAAACTCAGATCCCTAAACAATCAGATCCTTTAGCGGTGTCGGCTCTGCGTCCATTAGAAAAGACTAGAAAATACCTAGAGAGAATACATTACTTTAAACGATGCACTTCAGGTGATTAGAAAAGACTAGAAAATACCTAGAGAGAATACATTACTTTAAACGATGCACTTCAGGTGATGTGTAATTAGAGCTCATAAACCTGAGGTTTAGCCATGTTATGACAAGAAAAGAAGATCCCAGAAGCAGCCAGTAACGGCCCATGCTGATTACACCCGACTGCAAATAAGCAGCTGCAGCTCCCACCTTCAAAGATAACCAGAGCTAAATTAGAAGAACGGAAGCTGGAAAATCGAGAAAACCTAAGAAGCTCTCTGTTTGCTCCTATGTCTCCTCATTGCAGAATTCTAGGTTTATACAAACATGCTCTAGGAAAAACCCTGCGAAGTTTTAGAAGAATTTGCTAACCGTGAGAGGGATAAATGCAACCGAATACAGAGGAAGCTTGATAGCTCTCCAAATCAAAATGGCCTGGCTAAGCTCTTCCTCCTGAGCCTCTTTCGGTGTCACCATATCCAGCTCTGCCGATGCCACACCCTCCAGCTCCACCTCCGAGCTCGAGGCTCTTGGTTGCGGGATCAGCACTCGTGCCTCTCTTATCCATTTCCCCACCTGAACTCACAAACTACTGCAAAATTAATGCAGCAACTTAAGTTTCAACCCACATAGCTCAATGACCAAAACCTACACTACCTCCATCACCATAGTTCCCTGCCATGAGATGAAATATAGATGGAGGCAAACCTGCCACCCAACATACATTGCAACGCTCGCTTGAGGTGGATGCCAATGGTCGCCGAGAAAAGTCACCAACTCGGAGACTCGAGCGCACTCCAATGCGCTTTCCCTTTCCCAAGAGAAGCCCCCCAGAATTACCACAACTCCGAATAGTCCCATTACAATCATATGACTTCCTTTGGAGATGAGAGCAGCTAGGCTTCACCAGAAGCGAGCACTGCATCCCGCAGGCTGTCTCCATAGCTCCTCTCACTTACAGCTTCCAACTTTGTCACATGCCACTCAAATTCATTGCACAAGGGTGACTCCCCTCAAGGAGTGCCGAAACACAATTCGTTAGGGCATGCGGGCAACGAGAATTCACAAACACTGCAAGAATTAGTCTCTACAGGGTGATGTGGGGCTCAAGCAAAACCTCCGAAGCCCTTTCTAGTGCTGGAGACGCCGAGGCTGAAGGAGCCCTGCGAGTGGACAACACATCCTACGACCGCCAACCATTGGTGGAGATCGGATAGCGGTCCAAATTACTGTTCACAAGTCACAAAACTTTCTAAACCGGGTATGACGACCCGTTACAGTCATTCGTCACTCGATGTTTCAGAATGACGTCTGACTTTCAGCGAATGAAGAAGATCCTCCAATAATCCACTCACAATTGCGGTATGAATCGAAAGAAACTGGGTAATCACTACTGCTGCGTGCACGATTCTACAACTCTGTGACCATTCCTGCGTTTGCTAAAAGAGGCCTCCACGACAAGTCAACTTGCCAAATGCTTCTTTCCATGAGTGTCACCAAATTTAGAGTCCTTCCCCTGCACCATCCTTGACATCGAGATTTGCGATTCAATCTATTTCTCCAAAAAAACTATTAATAGAACACATCAGCTTCGACCATGTCCAAGCATTTCTAGGTGTTCAATATCTGTGCAAGAGAGTGATCATAGAATGGTTATAAATAAAACAGACTCTGTGCCATAGACAACGAGCTCATCTTCGAGCGCTCCGACCATAGCTCAGTTGGTAGAGCGGAGGACTGTAGTGGCGACAGTAATCCTTAGGTCACTGGTTCGAATCCGGTTGGTCGGACTAGATTCTGCCCAGGCACTCGCTGCAGTTTCGTTTTGTAGGTACACAGTAGAATTGGCATTTCCGGTTTGAAAGACGAAGTTCAGCAAGCATTCCGAAGGTGTACAAGCAGAGCTCAGACGCGTATTTGTGGATTCGGGTTTAAGGAAAACTGCAAGAGGCTGAAGATAAGTGGAAAATGCTCTTAATTCAAGTTTGTTGTGATTTCCTATTCGCAACACGAAACATCCCTTTTTCAGTAATACTTCTATGTGGTATGCATCTTCACGGGGGTCTACAACATGACATTCAGAAACTTCGCTGTGCAGCTACCAGCTTGCAAATTCTTTTGTGGGTAGGCCAAGCCTTCGTCTGGCACTCCTTGGAGCAGTAAGGCTGTCCGCATTGCTTGCATCTCATGCTCGCGTCTTTCCTGCACTCCTCGCACTTAGATACCTTAGGAGCGCTCTTCATCTCGTAGTCGGCCATTAGGTCCATCCCTCGGGTTCCGTAAGCATTCATGAAGTCGCCGAAGTCGCCTTCCTTGCTCCTCTCTGCCTCGGGGACGGGCGTCGGAGGCTTAAATCCATATTTCTCAAGCATGTCGCTGAACGCACCCATCGTCCTGGGTTGTTCCTCCTTCGGCAATTTTTCTTGGTCAGCCACCATAATGTCCCACCGTTTGTCATTCTCTTCTTGCTCCTTTCGAACGGCCTCAGAGAGGTTGCGTCCCGAGATCTGCTCATACATTTCTAGGTTTTTCTTGAGGATTGGATCTTTCTCTGCCATCACCCGCAATCTATCGAATTCCTTGCCGCTAATCTCGCGAAAGCTGTCAAACCCCTCCATCGTCTCACTCGCTGAATCCCAGCCTCACGTACGGCAAAGTCCAAACTTACTCCACAATGCAACAGTCGCCTCTCCACAAACTGCGAAGTAAACCTGCGAACAACTGCACGATTAGCACCCCTAGCCTCTCTCTCCGCCCCCGAGACACCCTCAACTGGCTATACCGCAGCCCTCGCAAAGCCAAATCGTAAGACAAGTAATGCAACAAAAGCGTCTCCTCGTGAATCGATTCTCTCCAGATCTTTACAACGCTCCACTGCAAACGCTAAAATCATTACAAGAATACGAGCAGGGATCAATCATTCCCAAGAGCGCAGACATGAACTTCACCCTACAATCCTTGCGTGTAGTGTACACTCTACTAAACAGAGCTCACATATTGTAAATACCCATTGCCTCGGCATTCACAAGAACGTTAGAATAATACAAACATGGAGTGATTAGTGCAGTCAAAGGTGTACACTGGCTCATCACCTCCGGCAACCCTAATCCCCAATTCCTTCAAGTCTTTGTGGATGGTGGAGAAGAAAGAAACTTTGGTTGCAACAAAACAACGAATTAGGTTCCGCAAGCAAGGGTTCCGGACACATGTAACCAACACTCAAGCAGTCTCCCATAAATTGGGCAACAGAGTCGGAGAATACGTGAAAGGTTAACAAAGAATGGAAATGAGAATGTCAACTTAAAACAGTCGAAAAATACAACTTGTCGGGAGATAGGATGAAGATAAGGCATAATTTTATTGAGATTATTAATAAAAGGCATCAAAGGTGGGCTTGAAGGTCATAGGCGCTACTTAAAGCTGCCCCCTAAAACTGTCTCATCTTTCTATATGTACTAACAATATTTTTATAACGAATAAGATTAAAAAAAACTGTTAAAAAAGAATTATTTGTACTTTCGTGGCCACACCACGCTTGACTTCGTCACAGACAATTAGCTAATAATAAAGTATACCTCTTTCTTTCGCGCATTCATTCACAGTCTCCCTCTCATGGCAATTCCAATCCACCTTGAGAGAGAAACAATGGCGCAGGGCTGTTAGAAACTAATTTTCAGCTGATACTATGCTGTTGTAGCACTGGAGTATTGTGTAGCGATGCTTATCGCGGAACGACAAAGGATTTCAGAAATGCGTCCTTCTTTGCCATGGGCACTAGAACATTGTTCATAAAAGATGATTCACTGTAGTACACTTGCTTTCGGTTCCATTACGGAACTCGACAAAATCACGTTGTGAATTTGAAGTCATCCAGCACTTCTCCTGGGCGGTGTGCGGTTCAGTTGCAAACCTTGCATCTGACTGGCCACCAATGCTTGCATCTGCAAGTTTTGCACAACATCAAATTTGAGATTCACCACAATTGTTCAAGCACCAGCCCCACATGATTTTCTGGCACCGAACCACAATTGCTGGAAACAATGTCGCTCAGCTGTGACGTTTTCTCAAACGTCCTTGCGCTGAACTCATTCACTCTTGCAAAACGAATGTGGAGTCCTTAACATAGTCTCCACGGATAACGCCAACTCAAGAACAGAACCATTGCCACTACCCCAAGAGGCAAAGTTACCCTGCGCACCCTCACCTCCGCACAACCCAACGTGAGGACATCAAAATTTTAACCCCAAGAAGGACACCGAATACTGTGGAATTGGTTCAGAACGCGAAGCTCGCCACTCTCATCTCGCTTTCCAGCTTGACCTCAGAGACAACTGTTGAACGCGAGGTCAACCTCGCACTTTCTCATCACTTGGAAACCGCATTCATGAGTGAAGTTGAGCGGAAGAAGTGGATTGATCCAGCATGTGGACATGATCTATCGTCTTCTCTCCACCTTTCGCTCGAGTTCGGATGAAGCAGTTTTTGTAGCTTTTAAGCATGCCTCTCCCCCGATCACCCCCACCTTCAGCACAGCAACTGCCAGAGCGTGACAAGCCTCCTCGACTTCCGAGCAAGTCAATCGTTCACACCGTTCTCAGCAATGGCTTCCGTTGTTGCCGCCTCCAGCGTTGTGGCCCCAGCCACCTTTGTGGCTGCGTCGTCGTCGGTGTCGAACTCGAAGTCGAACTCTGTGAAGGCATTCTCTGGCCTGAAGAGCGCCACGTTGTTCACCAGCAAGGCCGAGACCCTGAGCTCTGTCCAGAACGGCAGCCGTGTGCAATGCATGCAAGTGTGGAACCCCATCGGGCAGACCAAGTTCGAGACCTTCTCGTACTTGCCCCCACTGTCGGATGACGCCATCGCCAAGCAAGTGGAGTACATGATCCAGCAGAAGCTCATCCCCTGCCTCGAGTTCGACGTGGTAAGATTTCGGTTTCGAAATTGTGGGTTCCAGAACTTAGACGAGAAGCCACTGTCTCAATTCGTGTCAATTTTGATGAATGATGTGGTGAGAGGAACTCGGATATTGAGAGCAATGTTGTCGATGTGCGTGATCCGTGAGCAATTCTGGCAGTTGGGTATGTCCTGATGAGGAAGTGGACTTGTGTGAGAGCAGAACTCGAACGGAGTGTCTCGGGCCAACAACTCATCCCCAGGATACTACGATGGTCGGTACTGGACCATGTGGAAGCTGCCCATGTTCGGGTGCCAGGACTCCGCGCAGGTGTTGAGGGAGATCGAAGAGTGCAAGAAGACCTTCCCCGGCTGCTTCGTGCGCGTGCTCGGCTTCGACAACGTAAAGCAAGTCCAGATCTGCGGGTTCCTTGTCGCCAGGCCCAACTAAGTGATTGATTGATTGATTGGTTCAGTGTCCCAGCATCGCTCAGGACTAGCGCAGTTGCTGACCTAAATGTGGGTAGCAGCCCTTGTACCATAGACAGTCCAATGGAATTGCATGGAGAAACTGGTCGCGAGCTGATTTTTTGAATAACAAGACGTTTGCGTCAGAATGTGTTGAAATCAAATTTCTGTTATTGTCTTGTTTTGTTTGTTTTGGCTGCCAAAAATTTTAAATCCAGCTATTTACAGGTATGAGCAAAAAGAGAGAAAAGAGAAAATTTCTTCATCTTAATGAGCAGAGGATGTTTGCACCAGTAATTGGAACTGAGACTAGTCAACTATTTTAATAATAAACTCTAGGATGCGGAAAATGGTGCTATCTATCATGTCTGATTGCTTAAAAAATAAAATAAATACCTGATTGTTTGTGTATAAATAATCTCTTCTTGTGTTATTTACTTCCAACAAATTTGCCACAGTACTAGAAATACATCAGCCAATTAGCATCTTCTACTGTGATACAAAATGATGCACATATTTTGCAACAGGATATAAATAGTATTTTTCTCATGTGCTAAGGAATGATTAAGAAATACATATCTGGTATCTCATATCATGTAGTAAAAAAGGATATGAAAAGTGACTGAAACATATTTTTTTGCTTTTAAGAAAACAACGATAAAAAAATTGTGAGCAGTACATTTTGTGAACATAATTATGAATATTTTTTATTCTTGTTACAACTAAAACTAGATTTTTTTGTAGAATATTATATATAACATAGATAATAATAAAAAATAAAAATAAAATAAATAATCTGCTTAAAACATTTAGCAAAAATGTATGCTTGTGTTGACTACAATATTTTCAACTAATAGATGATTTCTTAACTTATATTCAAATATTATTAAATTTCAATATTTTATTGTGAAATCAAATACACAAATACAAATTAATGACCATGGCATTCTGTAAAATTATTATCATTTTTATTTAATGCTGTGGAAGACATCACAAACATAGACATTTTAATAGAAGACATCACAAACATAGACATTTTAGATTGAGAAGCGACGCTCCCACGGATTCAATCTCGCAACAGAACCGCATTCGAGGAGGCTGCTTTGAGCACCAATGTCAGACGCCTGACAAGTCTCATTAAAACAGAGCAACAACTATTACGGATCTCAGTGTTTCTGAAGATGCGCCGACGAAGTCTGAACCTCTCGAGACTATCACCAATCTCGAGTCACTCGTACATACCGAATAAGGAAAGAACCCATTAGTTCTGCCACGTCAGTGCTGGATACAAGTTCTCTTAGATAATACTATTGTTATCATGAGTTTCTGTGAAGAGGAGTTGTTCGACTTGCTGGAGGCTGCATGTTTCGTTCGATTGGTTCTAATCCTGTGTTTGCAAAGATCGAGCGGAAACAATCCCCATAGGCTGACAGTCCATGGAGAACAGAGCAAATGAAGTCTTCGCAGTGCCTATTCAAGTGACTCAATGATGAAGAAATATGGATGAGTCGACGTCTATAAGTCACTTTTGCCAATCTGCACTGCAATCATTGACCACCAAACAGATCTGGATTTTTGCTTACGCTACTTATCATTGAGCAGAATAATCCGGGTGCAGAGCTTGAATTCCAACGCTGCTCGAGGTCGTCCAACTGGGTACGTAAGTTAAAATGATGGTATGCTCGCTGACTAAAATCAGCTATAACTGCAACCGCTTTGGTGCAATCACATAGATTCGCATTTGGGGCTTCCAACGGTGTAACTTACCTTGAACCATAGTACCGTTGCGACAATATCTAAAGTTGAATGCTACGTCGATCACGGGTAAGCAGGAAGTTAGGAACCTCAAAGATCCGACAATAGGTGTCAATAAACAAATCTTTCGCGGTCTATTTCTCCAGTAAAATGCACCACCGTTCATTATTTTACCAATGCATATCACAGGGGGCAATACACATTCTGACGCAAACGTCTTGTTATTCAAAAAATCAGCTCGCGACCAGTTTCTCCATGCAATTCCATTGGACTGTCTATGGTACAAGGGCTGCTACCCACATTTAGGTCAGCAACTGCGCTAGTCCTGAGCGATGCTGGGACACTGAACCAATCAATCAATCAATCACTTAGTTGGGCCTGGCGACAAGGAACCCGCAGATCTGGACTTGCTTTACGTTGTCGAAGCCGAGCACGCGCACGAAGCAGCCGGGGAAGGTCTTCTTGCACTCTTCGATCTCCCTCAACACCTGCGCGGAGTCCTGGCACCCGAACATGGGCAGCTTCCACATGGTCCAGTACCGACCATCGTAGTATCCTGGGGATGAGTTGTTGGCCCGAGACACTCCGTTCGAGTTCTGCTCTCACACAAGTCCACTTCCTCATCAGGACATACCCAACTGCCAGAATTGCTCACGGATCACGCACATCGACAACATTGCTCTCAATATCCGAGTTCCTCTCACCACATCATTCATCAAAATTGACACGAATTGAGACAGTGGCTTCTCGTCTAAGTTCTGGAACCCACAATTTCGAAACCGAAATCTTACCACGTCGAACTCGAGGCAGGGGATGAGCTTCTGCTGGATCATGTACTCCACTTGCTTGGCGATGGCGTCATCCGACAGTGGGGGCAAGTACGAGAAGGTCTCGAACTTGGTCTGCCCGATGGGGTTCCACACTTGCATGCATTGCACACGGCTGCCGTTCTGGACAGAGCTCAGGGTCTCGGCCTTGCTGGTGAACAACGTGGCGCTCTTCAGGCCAGAGAATGCCTTCACAGAGTTCGACTTCGAGTTCGACACCGACGACGACGCAGCCACAAAGGTGGCTGGGGCCACAACGCTGGAGGCGGCAACAACGGAAGCCATTGCTGAGAACGGTGTGAACGATTGACTTGCTCGGAAGTCGAGGAGGCTTGTCACGCTCTGGCAGTTGCTGTGCTGAAGGTGGGGGTGATCGGGGGAGAGGCATGCTTAAAAGCTACAAAAACTGCTTCATCCGAACTCGAGCGAAAGGTGGAGAGAAGACGATAGATCATGTCCACATGCTGGATCAATCCACTTCTTCCGCTCAACTTCACTCATGAATGCGGTTTCCAAGTGATGAGAAAGTGCGAGGTTGACCTCGCGTTCAACAGTTGTCTCTGAGGTCAAGCTGGAAAGCGAGATGAGAGTGGCGAGCTTCGCGTTCTGAACCAATTCCACAGTATTCGGTGTCCTTCTTGGGGTTAAAATTTTGATGTCCTCACGTTGGGTTGTGCGGAGGTGAGGGTGCGCAGGGTAACTTTGCCTCTTGGGGTAGTGGCAATGGTTCTGTTCTTGAGTTGGCGTTATCCGTGGAGACTATGTTAAGGACTCCACATTCGTTTTGCAAGAGTGAATGAGTTCAGCGCAAGGACGTTTGAGAAAACGTCACAGCTGAGCGACATTGTTTCCAGCAATTGTGGTTCGGTGCCAGAAAATCATGTGGGGCTGGTGCTTGAACAATTGTGGTGAATCTCAAATTTGATGTTGTGCAAAACTTGCAGATGCAAGCATTGGTGGCCAGTCAGATGCAAGGTTTGCAACTGAACCGCACACCGCCCAGGAGAAGTGCTGGATGACTTCAAATTCACAACGTGATTTTGTCGAGTTCCGTAATGGAACCGAAAGCAAGTGTACTACAGTGAATCATCTTTTATGAACAATGTTCTAGTGCCCATGGCAAAGAAGGACGCATTTCTGAAATCCTTTGTCGTTCCGCGATAAGCATCGCTACACAATACTCCAGTGCTACAACAGCATAGTATCAGCTGAAAATTAGTTTCTAACAGCCCTGCGCCATTGTTTCTCTCTCAAGGTGGATTGGAATTGCCATGAGAGGGAGACTGTGAATGAATGCGCGTATGATGTTGAGATTCACATCATATTGATAGTTGAAAAGGAAACTACTTTCTAAATACAGGGTACTTCTCCGAAATGCAAGACGAAAGATGTTACGCTGCATTTTCTGTAAAGTCGGTACCTCAATAAATTAAAGCATTCCTGGACTGTATTGCAAACTGCAAGAACAGCCTTAGGCATTGCACCTAGGAGATACTGAAACTTGAAACAGACATTTCCTTTTTATTTCAATAAATGAAGTGCAGTTGAGCACGGGCCTGCTAGGTACTTCTACAAGTCAACCATAGTGGCACCAATCCAAGTCATGGTCCATCGTCACCATCGCCGATTAAGTTGCAGATTTCACTGCACTCGATAAGGCTGCCAAACCACCCAGACCCTCAGAAAGCGTGAGATGATCGTGTGGGAGGGCATGCAATGAACTACCATTGCATTCTCACAATAGGTGCGCCAATAATTTAACTTGAGGAAAATTACAAAGGTCAGCGAGCCCTTCTGTTGAATCGACTAATTAGTCCAAAATCCTTCCGACCTTTTGGAGGCTATGATACACAAAATAGATAACTGGAAACATCTGAATCAATGAGACAAAAATAGCACAGCGATGCGACTGGTTTCAAAACTGACAAGAAGTTTACGTACCAGTACTGTCGGCTTCGAAAGCCTTCCTTGAACACCACTAGTGGCCTGCAGAACACTCAATCATAAAAAGTAAATGTCTGCGAGTTTCCAGTTTCAACTCTTCTTAATTCTTTATGAATGCACACAGGTCCGTCTTCCAAAGTACTCATTCATGATCTAAATTAAGCCGATGAATGTACACTACACGAAAAAATCGAGTCAAAAAGAGGATGACCTTCGAACGTTAAGAGGACCCTCGCCTGGTGCCCCAGCTCCTCCTCTAATACATGTAGATACACATTTCCTCGTACACGATTCCGCCTTAGCCGACTTCGGTTTCTGAATTCTTTGCCCCTTGTCTCCTCCTGCATCACTCTTCCAATTAGTCTCACATACATGGGGGAACTCATGTAGAATATTAAGAAAACTTATGCGTATCTGTGAACTCCATACAAAATTATCATTAGTGGCTGTCAATAAAATAGCTGGATTTCGAATAAGGGCTGCACTTCATTCTTACAAAGCTTCAAGAGAACCATGGACTCACTCGGGAGAGCTCACGGAATCTGAAGTTTTCGAAGATTAAATTCACAGTAAGTGCGAAGGGGAAGTTCTCTTACCAGAAAGGGTTTGTGGGACATCTTCAAAAGTGTCTCGGGAGGACGGAGCCCCTTGAATGCCGATCGTCATTGTCAATGCCACAACCAAAGATAGCACACTTTGCAATACGCTTCTATGGTAGTCATGGAAGGGGGGAGGTTTCTGGTCTGGTTGAACAGAAGAATGTTCGGGTCCTGAAGAACTGACTATGATTTTGCTTTGGAGTTCAGGACCGCTGTGGAGACTCTCAATGGTTGATTGTAGGGTTTTGGGTGTAGCAGAAGTAGAAAGTCTAGGCAAGGCGCAATTGCAGCTCAACCTTCGGCAGGAAAGCTGTTGCGAAGAAGACCTGGAATGCCTTGAGGAGGGAATTGCGCAGTGGAAAACTAGGGTGACACGACCTAATGACCAAGTAAGAGACGACATTGACAATGTGTCTGAAAAGGATAGATGCACAAATACACATACGTAGACTTCTTTCTCACAAATCAGGGTAGACTCACTTCAATGCATCAACCGGGGTTCAGCGGAATTCAAACTGTACTACATTGGCAAAACCTGGAAACATGAAGGAAGAAGGTCAGGCCTATTGAATCCACCACAGAACTTGGTGTCGGATAACCCAATTAACTTCAAACTTGAAAGTTCTGTACTATCTCCACATCACTCCACTCAATGCGTAAATCCCTTTCAATGCGGCCCTCACAAACTAGGATTAGACACATGCTGCTTCGGACTCAACCAAGCTGGTGTTGGTCGACCTTCCGAGGCAGGCAAATAAGCTCAAAGGAAAACCACCATCGGGTCTCCCTACAGCACAAACTATCACACAGAATCGAAGTTCGTATCTACAATTCAACAAAAAAACGTGCAGAGTTGAATGAGAAGAATTTTAATACCATGCTCAGCCATGAATGTTGAGACTGCTTCAAGGTTGAGACTGAACGTTGATTCGAAATTCAGAATCATCTGTTTTCCTTGCAGCTGCTGAAGAACCGATAAGCTTCGAGCGGGGAGATACTCTGCTAACTGCGGTTCGCCACGTGGAAGGATGACTTCAACGAAATGGAGCTTTTTTCTTGCACTCTTTCCTCGTCGGATGTCCAGTATTGGCCATACGATCGTCAATCTGGTGGGGTTGCAAGTAGCTCAGGTCGCCCCGGTGAGCACCGTGTGTCTGTCTTGACCGCGAGCTCAAGACCAGGCGGAATCGTGAGGCGCTGGATGGCTCACAGCTACTTCGGTGTTCTCGATTCATCACTCAATCCACCCACCGGTGAACATCTGAGAGTGTGCAGTTGCGGGTAAAGATTGAAGGGCGTCGTGAACCTGGAATTCCTCTATCACACACACGACATTACAGCCATTCTGGTGAAGACGTGCATTCAGTTGTGCTTTTTGAATGCTGGGTGTCAGTTGAAGCACGTGGGAGACTCTTTGAAATCGACCTGCGGGGTTCTGTTGAGTTATGGTTTGTGGAACAGACTTGTTCACCTGGCTGCAGGAAAAGTGCAGTGCTTACATTTACAAGGCTCCGAACATGCGGTGTCGTTACTGGCACTTTTGCCAATACTACGTGTGTCTGCGAAAGTAAGAGACGCTGAAACAGACCCAGCGAACAGTCACAACCTAGTTGTAACCACCCTCTTGCCCTTTCTTTGAAATTTTGATGTAAAGCAGGTACTGCTCGTTGTTTCTGCGCTTGAGCAAAGAGTAATCGCCTTGCTCCCACAGAGAAGATTCACTTCGCAATCGTAACACGGGGGGACGTTGCCACGGATTGGACCGAGAAAGCTGCGAGGGCGGAAGGTGGCCATGGCCTGCAGAACTCCAGCAAGCTCCCTCGGCATCATGTAAGCTTCATCTCTTAAACCTCTGTGCACAGTTCCTCCACCAAACTGTCGTCATGGATTCAAACCCATTTCTCTTAACTGTTATTGATCCAGGCGTTAAACCTGTGTTTTCCCCACAAAGTCTAGCACAACAGTGTGGAAGAAAACTGAAGTAAAATGCTCTAATTTGACGTTGCTTTAGCGCTTCGTCTACCTCATAACATGTTGTCCAAGAATTCGTTCTTGGAAAGCACCAGAGCTTCCTTATCCTCGAGGTTCTGGCAGCATATTCCTTCTAAAATTAGAAAATGGTTGTATATCTTAAATTATCTGTTGTAAGCTGCGAAAAGACTGGTTATGCAAATGAAACACTAAGGTTTGGAATTCGTAGGAGGTTTAGATGTTGTAATTGAAGGTAATGTGACTAAAGTAGAGGTTACTAAATATTGTGAATGAATCACAATTGTATCGGTGCAATTGTGGGTCATGATCTGGAGTTAAAAGCATCCTGCTGCAACTGGGAATTCTGTTCTATTGACTTCTTGCAAGATGCTGCATCAGTAACCACTCTGATGCTCTAACACCTACAAAAACGAATTTAATTTTCACTTGATTTCGATCATCACACACACACACACATGTATATATGTATGTATATAGTAATTAGGGAATACTTTAGTAATCTGTTATTACAATCTGTTTCTCCATGTCTGTGGCTGCAGCTCTTACTTTGAGATTTTTCTACCAGGTAACATACATTATGTAAACAAGGTCCTTATTACAATGATACAATTCGAATGAGGTCCTGGTGTTGCTTCCCTTGCTTACTTTCTGATACATTACATATACAAACATCTAATTCACTTCAATAAGAGTGAAAAAAGTGACATTCTTTTTATCAGTGTGACAACATCTCTAGGATGTGGAATCGAGTCAAAACGTGTTTCCTACTGTTTCAAAAAAGAACATTATAGAGCAAAGTTTAGTGTACTTTCAGCCTTTATGTTGATAAGATCTTTTAGTCTTCTTTTTCCTCAGTACCTTTTTTTTTCATTTGTTTATCTCTTCAATTGCTTGTTGTTTTTATAGTTCATCAAATAAGTTGTTTGTCGAACAAACTTTTCTGTAGTTTGAATATAATACCAATTTTAAACTCCTTGCAACTTTCAGCTTTGATGATGTTCTTTAATTTATTCCAATGCAATGATATGAATGAAATATTAGCTGTTACTGTTACCATTATCTCAATTCAAATAAATAAATAAAAATAAATGAATAAATAAATAAAAAGCCACTCCACAGTTATGCTTTTTTCCTTTGATCTGATTACAAGCATAAAAGTAAATGGAAGGACAACACAAAATGTTACTTGTGTATTGTAGCTAATTAGCAATAGTGACCAAAATCAATTGCATAACATTTGTTCTCAGAAACAGAAATGTCAGGGATAAGTCTTGTATATGTATACATATATATACACACAAACACACACTTATGCATATATTTATTTGCAAAATAATGTTCTAATGATGTATACACAACGTGGCTCTTGAAATAACAAGTCAAACAAGTTGTGTACAGACAAAACTGCATGAAGAAAACTAATATCACCATCATCATTCATATTGCAACACTTTAAAACCAGAACATCACTACCAAGTGACAAAACCAAGCTCCCTAAATGTGTTTAAAATCCGTGACCCTTCCTGAAAAACTTCCAAACAAACCCATCACCCGAAACCCTAATAAAATTAAACCTGCACAAACCAGGGGCACCACCTCTGTGATTTGCGTCGCTAATCCCTGATTAACTAACCCCAATGGAGAATTAGTTAACGATAGTTGGGGGGGGGGGAACTTAGCGAATAGAAGCTTCGCGACGAGAGCGGTGAGCCAGATGTGAACTGAAGAGCCACCTCGTGAATGGAGCCCTCCGGGGTCTTGAACCGCGTCTCTGATCATGCTTCATTTCGGTGACCGTCCCGGCGATTGTGTATTGTGGCAATTTTCCGTTGATCCTTCTGCTGTGTGAATTGTTTTTTTCGCTGTAGGGCGTGCGCTAGTTAGCAACCAACCATGACTGCCGCAGCTAAGTTGCCCGCGCACGTCGCTGCGCAGGCGAACAAAGCCAGCCCCAACCTCGTGAAGGAAATTTTTTATGGTATCGGCCTTGGGATTTTCGGTGAGTGTGGGTGGACTCCGAAGTTGGGCTTCATTTTTTGTGCATCGGGGACGGGTTTCGGTTGCGAAATTTGTTGGGTTTTCTGTATCGTTGTGGTTTGGGTGTGGATTTCGAATCTATGGGGCTAGGTTGAACCACGAGTTTTAGGTTTTCTAGCAATTTTCTGGTTGCTGATTATGTTTGTGATACTATACGTGTCTTTGCTTTAATCGACGTTCTTAGTGAAAGCACTGCCAGGCGGAAGGGAAGATAGTGATATACTTTATTTTATTTTTATTTTGCAGAGTCTTGTTTGCGGTGACGTAGATGCCGAAATGTTTCATTGTGTGAGCATCTTCTTCTTCTTCTTAGAAATCAGCGTTTTTGTGGCTTCTTGTGTGGGATGACAGGTGGGTCATTTTGGAAGATTCATCATTTGAATGAGCGCCGCAAGACGGAAGAATTCTATGCGAGATTGGAGGCAGGAGAAATCACGGTGAACGCAGAGTAAACGCGACAATTGTTTGGAAGTGGTTTACTTTGTTCTCATCTTGCTCAGGTCTCGTGTATCGAGAATCTGGCTGTGTCCATTCCTGCTTTATGCTGCAAGTTATCATGGGAAATCACTGGTTTCTAGCGTATAAGTGTTAAGGACCCTTCGAAAGCCCATCTTGAATCAATGAAAAGAGACGATTCTTAAAGGATGAATTGAAAGTGTCCAATTAATTCTTACGATTACTCGTCGGATTTTCTGCAGGGTTGCAAAGGCTTCCCAAGTAATTATTTGTATGATGAAAGGAATTGTGCGTTTGGATGTGTATCCTGCGTGCTGCAATAACCTAGGTTGTCTTATGTTATGGTTCCCTGAGAAATCTACGACTGTTTAACATCTTATGAATTATGATTTCTCAAACTAACAAACGCTGACTGCTTAGCGGGGTTGGTAATCCTTATAATTCTTTTCACAGAGGCTGATTTCCAAAGGATGATCAACCTGTATTTTTTCGGGCTTAGGTGCTTCAGTGTGATTTGTGAAGTCGTTTGGCTTTGAGGTGTGTTGGCTAAGCATCTGGGACGATTTGCGCAGTATTGAGTATTGAGGAATCTTGATTTTCGATTTTCGAATTTTGATACTATGTGACAAGCTTGAAGCCTTTTATCTATCAGGTGTAACATATAAATGCTATGTCTGATACCTGGAACAAATATCAAATCGGTTTGTGTCTACCAATTACATTAGTGCCTCGTCTGATACTCACATGCACTGACGTAAATACTTCACACTGTTGGTGCAATAGAATCGTGTTGTATTCATCGTAAAATCTTCTTTCAAAATTCAAATGAGGTTCTACTGGTGTTACTCATTGTCATTTGATCCCTAGGGTGCTGGGAATCGTGAGCATGAGCAACCAAGGGAAAGCGTTACTTATATACCGTAGTCTTGATGTACTGAATCGTCATGAACACGAGCTAGGGTTGGTATTACATCCTCCTATACCTTGACCTTAAAGTTTTCGGGAAAAGTTGGTGAAATCCTCTGCGAAACTGTCAAATCACCGGTCATTTCAGCTTTAACCCTGACGCTTTGAGCTGTTGAAAACTCACTTCGCTTCATGTCAGGTGCCCTTCGACCAATTGGTTCAGACAGTACGAGAAATTCCTAAAGCTGCACAGTTTGAGTGATCTTATACTCCGCTCGCAATCCAAAACCGCGATGCAATTTTTACTCCCTGGAACATGGGCTGTGCGCCGATCTGAACGCAAGGAGCAATACATCACCAGTCTCTTGCACACTCGTTTCTCGCAGAGTGTGCAGGATGCCACGAGCCAAAGTCACAAATTGTTTTTATGACACTCAGGGTATTGCAATCCCAACAGCATGGCAAGCAAAAATCCAAAATCACCGGAAAGAACTTCCATCCGCCGCTCGAGTTCCAAGGATCTAAAAACGTTATGAAGCGAGATTCGCAACCTTTGCACCGAGTGCCTAATGAAAGGTTCCTGGACGATTCAGCAGCACCGAGGACTGCAACAAGCGTCGAGCAGTAGATATTCTTCTGTCCTCCATAGCTGGGAATCTTCAGGCACCTCGGAATGCAGATTGGCTCCAATCCAGAATGATTGGCTGCATGTTCCCCTGGGGCTGGTTTCGTTGCATCCCGAGATAAGCCACCACCCACCCACTTACCTACTACCCATTATAGAAACCTTGGGGGAAAAGAGGCTTGAGAATTCCCTGCCTCACCCACTTTCCTTGTCTTGAACGGTCTTGGTTCTGTGAAGAGCGATCCGATTCATGGCTCGTGAAGGCTGGATCTCCGCATAGCCCTGATCAGCTCATCCTGTGACTGCCTTGTTTTATGTGTTGGCTCCACATCCCGGTGACCCATCTTGGAGAATACTGCAACGAGGAGCGAGGTGCATGCACAGACAGTCACTGCGAAACAACAACAACAAAAAAAATCCTATCACAAAACAAAACAAAACATAAAATAAAACAAAAAAATGCTCTGCCCAAACTCATCAGGTCTCGGCAACATTATGCAGCATTACGATGTTCCATAGCCTGGAAGAATCAGCAATTCTAGCTTAATATCAGATAAGATTATGCCAATCTTATACCAGATGAGATAGAGAAATTCTAACCTCAAAACTAGTTTGCTACATTAAAGTTTTCAGTGATATGGTTTTTTTGCTGAATGTCTTTGTTTTTAAACCAACACTTGGTGAAAGTTTAATAAATTTCAATGTTTCGTTGATTACATTCCTTCGATTTTTCTGTTTTTTACAGTTGCTATTTAAAACGAGTATAAGTGAGTTGTAGTGATTACATATTATTGGTAAGTTCAAGATTGAGCTTGCTTGATCTGTTACTTCTTTTTAATGTGTGTGGTGATTTTAAAAAAATATATATATATAAAGACGTTTTGTATTGCTTAGAAATTTTGTATCTATTTAATGTTTCTTACTTGTTTACTGAAGCTTTTTTAAATTTACGTTGATCCAGAAAAGAAAATAAATAAATGAATAACGTTCATATCTTTAAAGGAATATTGAACCACATATAAAATCAAGCATCATCAAGGTTTTGATTTTTGGAAGGATCAATATTGTACGCGAAAGAAACCATATAACACATGTTCTACATCACTTTTCTTTTCTCTTTTTCTTTTCATTTTCCCTTCCTTTTTCCCTTCACCTTTGTATCCCTGAGGAAATTAAGAAAACTCCCCAAGGTTCAGTCACTCGTTCAATTATATATTTTTATTTTCAAAAAAAAAAAAAAAAAAAAAAAAAAACTTAGATGTTTTGGGAAAGAGGCATGAAGTTTTTTTAAAAAAAAGAGGCAAAAAAGCCCCAACTCGGAGATTTTACCCAAAATAAGATTTTGTGGGCTGTACCAAAAATTCCCAAACTTTTTAAGAAGCTTTAGTGAGCCACTCACAATATGGTGGGCGCCAGAGGAATGTCAAAGAATAAACTTACAAAAAAAAATACCCCACTCATACATAATAACTTCACCCACAATTTTTGAAAAAATGGTATCCACAATTGAATTCCCCCAAGTGAAGAAGTAATGACACCCTCTCTTTGTACTTTCACACATACTCTTTTGGTGCTAACTAACAAATCAGAGCTACCACTATAATGGCAGGATACATTATAAGCTTCAGAGGCTTTGTCTTATGGTGAATGGATGAAGTTTTCGTGTACTGGATGAAGATAAAAACATCCATCCAAAGTTCCTCAGGAGCGTGCCACGCTGCATTCGTAAAAAGTAGAACAGAGGATGTAGGATGAATAAAGCAAAAGGATGAGGGAAAAGGCAAAAAAAGGGAGTGATAAAAAAGCCACATGTGGCAGACGATCGTGACTTTGCCAACTGGGATTAGTGACGAGGATTAGTAAAAATCGCTAATTAGTCCGTACAATGGCTAATCCTTGTCACTAATCTTGACGAGAAGGCGATTAAGCCTTTGAGACATTCTTCTGCATAAAGTTTTGAGGCCTCTTTCACACTACGAGCTCAGCCAATTTCCAGTGTTAAGATGTTAGAAGTACTTACTAGTCTCCGTGTGTCCCCAATAGTGGTACCGATAATGGACAATATATAAAGTGTTAGAAAAACTGGGCTCATCTTATTTCAGTTCTAAAACACATCAATTTTGGAAATCGTATTCTGAAAAGGATGGCGCGCACTTTTGGTTGAAAAGTAAAAGGCTGTTATATTCGAAAGCCTGGTGATGGTGACAGCAGCAACTAGACTACGATGACGAACACGAAGAGGACGAAGAAGAACGAGAAGAAGAATTTTGCTGCAGTGATTTTGGGAAGTTAATTGAGCGAGAGAGAGAGAGAGAGAGAGAGAGAGAGATTGTGAGCTTCGTAGCGGTCGGTCGTCATGGAATTGAATTGGAACTCGTTTGTTCTGATTTCGAGACAAAATGTTCCTCCGCCTCCGTTGCAGCGTTCCCGAGCAGCCGGCGCAAATCCCAAGGCAGTCGCCGCACGGGAGCTCAGAGGAGGAGGGAGAGGTGGAGAATAAGAAACACTTGTGTGTGCATGATTGCTTCCGTTTTTTGTTGTATTCTTTGCTACGAATCAATTCGTGAGGCGAGCGCTTGGTTTGTTTGCATCATACAGAACCGACTCGCGGGGATTTTGTGGTGGTTCCTACAGCGAGTGAGTGACCTAGGGCAGCGGGAGGTGGTGGCAGAGTGAGGGTATTGACCCGGGGGCAGTAGAGGTGAGCTGCGGTGGTAGTGGCGGAGTCATGGCCTTGTCGGAGTTGGAGTTGAATGTTTTCTCTGACAATGGCGTTCCAGCAGCGAGCTTATGATGGTTCTGGCGGTTGGGAGGTTCTGACTGGGGTTGTGAGGGTTCTGAGCACAGTCAGAGTGTGCTGGTCGGACAGCATTGATGTACTTGTTTTGAGAAGTAGTGGTTCTGGTGAGGGGTGATCAGCCCGTGGTTACGCCAACTGGAAGTGAAGGCCGTCTCAGTTTATTAGCAGAGGACGACTTCGGGTTGTCTGTTGTTTAGAACTAATTTCGCGGTAGTTCTGTCGGGTTAGTGTAACACAGAACCTCATCGTGCTTCGATAACTATGGTGAAGGCTGGGTTTCGTCGAGGTCGAAAGTTACCATAGAGTGACATGTACTCAGTTGCGATGGCAGCGGAGTGGTGATCAAGAGAATTCATGGCAAGTAGGTGGAAGGTACACAGGGGCGTGGTTTCGTTTTTATCTTTTGTCCGGAGTGATTGTCGTCTGATGCTTCTGAAATTTCTGGTTGTGACTGCGAGCAATTGTGGAGTGCGCGCTTAAAGTTCTCGCACATGACCGCAATCTTGCTCTGACACTTATCTGCGAAGAACGCAGGAGGCTAGGAGTTCTGGAGCTCATCATGGTCGGAAACCGTTCGTTGACCACTCTAAGTCCACGTTCACTGTCTCGGTGTATGTTACGTGCTAATGTGTCAAATTTTCAAACCCCCTTCCCCGCAGTAAAGTCTCCTGGCCGTCATTTTCAAGTTGACTCGCTTGGATCCACATACAAGGCTGCTCGGTGAATTCGCTGATGAAGGAGATCCTTCCTAGAAAGTCAGAGAAGTGAATTGCACGACTCGATACTTTGTTATGCACACTGCTGCCGGCTAATCGGATAGGTCCCAGGATGTTGAGCGTAGTTCTCTTTTGAGGCTTCCATGTGCGTGAAGGTGTGTGGATAAGTTTCATAAAAGTACGCCGAACTTTTACGCGCGGTCTCAGGCTGCTGAGAACTCGCAAATCCAATAAGATTTTGCTTGGAATATCTTGTTTTTGCTGTAACCCGTCCGTCGCTCGCTGTCAGCATGCTTCTGCTCTATAAGTAGAATTTTTGAGCGCCTTCGGTGCTTGGAGATAGCAGATTATGTACATTATTTATGCGTCCAGTCTTTGACCGCCGTATGGTATCGTGCGCTGTTGTTGCGTTCCAAGCGCTAGGAAGGTCCCGCCAAGTGCTCAGATGCTGGTGAGTATTGTTTGAGATGACGGCAGACCCCAGTTCGACGTGATCGTGCTAACAGTCGCGCTGCGAATGCGCTTCACTTTAGGTTCCACATCTCAATTTGATTCTTGACTGGTACTTTCTTGGAAATACACGCAACTCTGGGAAGCCGCGCCGATTCATAGAAATTCCGAATTAAACGCACTTCTTCGTGTCTGTGTAAAAGCAGTTGCACCGGCAGAGTCGCTGCTAGATACCTTCATCAATTTCCCTTTCAATATCAATGAGTCCATCCTGTGCTTGTCCTTTGCGGCAAATATGTTGCCGAGATTTCCTTCGTTGCAAGCTCAACCACAGCTCTAAGAACGATCTTGTACTTTCTAGGAATAGGCATAGTACTTGAACTGCAGTTGTCAGAGCATGCATATGGCTGTCTTTACATGGTTTCACTGTCTTTCGCATGTTTTCTCGGGAGGGAATACCGACCCTCTGATTGCATGTGAGAAAGCGGAAACGCCGCCGACAACACGGTGTTCCAAATTTGAAGTGTTCCTCTCTATTCTCGTTGCCGATGGCGATGCATTCACCTTGACCCAATTCGAATTATACATCACTTTGCCTGGTTACATATCACTTCTAATGCTACGTTCCGTGCGAATTTTTTCGGGCTAATTCTGCGTGCAATTGAGTGGTTTAATCGTAGGCATCTATTTGCAGAGATGCTGTAGATAGTGCAAATCGATATTTTCTCAAAACTAGGACTGCATATAAATATACCTTCCTTTTCTCGCAGTGCCACCATCTCGATCTGAACGAGACTCGTGTATGACTTTCTGCCTATAAGTTGGACCGGAGCTTTTAGGCCACAGCTTATCTGAAGTCGCCGTCCACTGAATAGAATTCGGACTGACCGTTTTCACCTTGCTTGAATGTGCAGCGACTAGCTTTGATTTCAGGCTACAGTGGCTATCTCACAAAAGCGACTTCTGAATTGCAGAAGTATTTGTGCTGCAGCAGGTTGGGGTAAGGAGTAGCGAGTCGTCTTGACCGCAACATTTGCGTTTGCATAGCCTAAGGATTTCTTTGGCGGGAATCGATCCCTTCTTACAAGGAAGTAGCTCGCACATCTATCGTCTCGCTGTTTCAAGGGACGGGTTGTTCTCCTGTTATGACAGCATCATTGGCTGGAGAGGAACACCTTGCACTGCTTCTTTCGAGGAGGGATATTTTTCTACAAGACTGAATATGTACAGGATTCTCTGATCTTGCATGCTTGTCCAAATGCTTGGAGGACTCTCTGATCTCTACATACCCGTCCTGATTTGAGTATCTGTGAAGGTCTGTGGGACCAATATCACAAGCTGTCAGCAGTGACAAACTGAGGCCGGGGAAGTCTCAAAATGGCGGGGTCCGGTATGTCTCCCTGCGCGGCTTGCAAGTTACTGAGGCGGAGATGCACACGAGATTGTGTTTTTGCGCCGTATTTCCCTCCCGATGAGCCCCAGAAGTTCGCCAATGTCCACAAGGTGTTTGGTGCGGCCAACGTCAATAAAATGCTACAGGTATGGCGTTGTCTACCCTTCATGCATATTTGTAAACCTGGACATCGACAGTCGGAATGTGATCAAGTCTACGCGGACTTGAACTCATAGGAAACGTACAGGAGTTCACCATGCGTTTGATTAGCTTCATGAAGTGGCTCTTGAGATTCAATACCCTGAGACGTGTTTTTTTGTTTTTCTCCTGGCAAACAGGAATTACCTGTGGAAGCGCGAGGGGATGCCGTGAGCTCCATGGTTTACGAAGCTGACGCTCGTGTACGAGATCCTGTATACGGTTGTGTGGGTGCCATATCCTCTCTTCAGCAGCAAGTGGCGCATTTACAAACTCAACTGGCAGTTGCAAATGCTGAGATCGTATGCATGCGCATGCACAATACAGAGAGCAGCCGAGATTCCGACAATTCGAGGCACATACAAGGATCATACCAACAGGGCTTGTCGCCACCGTTGCAGCCACAATCACCTGAACTTCAAAATTATTACAAGCCCACGGCCCACTACCACCGCACGGACAACATGGAGCTTGCGGAGCTTCTATGGACATAACTCCAATCTGACCCCTCGTAACAGTCAATCCGCATTTTCAGTCGTTTTTGTGAAGCGTTGTACTTATAGCTTGATTCCCCTCATGCAAGTGTTGTGGCAGTATACGTAACATGGTGTCAGCCGGAATTTTGTTGTGTGCACCGTTTAATCTACTGTCTAGTACCTCGCCCGGGCTGCGTTTCGACTTGTAGAGAAACTCGTCGTGGTTCAGTGGCGGTCAAGATGAAGCTTATCACCATCTGTTTTGTACATGCAATCTAAACGTGAAAGAGCTCGACTGACGAAACATTATTCTTTTTCCCCTTAGGCGGTAGCTGTTAACATCAACCTCAGTTGCCATGCTCGTCTCCGGAATCCCATCACAAGATTTTTGCTTGTTGTATGAGGCCTTCCAGAGAGACACAGCTGCAGTGAAGCCATAGTGTCGCTGGAAAAGTTGTAGCTTGGATTGGTGGTGGCTGCGAAGATGTCCACGAACAGCTCCATGTACGATGTATTTTGTTATGTGTTCAATGTATCAAAAATGATATTGGAAGTGCATGTGTCTTTCCATCTTTAATGCTGAAACATTTGCGTAGATTTGTTCTCTTCATCCAAGCCGTCCCCCACCAGCTGAGTCGAAATCTCTTTAACGATGAAGTGCACAATTATTTAAATCACCTACTTTTCTTTTCTATGTTTTTTTCTTATTTTTTCATTGAAGTGGTAGTTACGCAAGTTGTTATACATGCCCATGCTTTGTGGTAAATCAGAAATGATACCGTTATAGGGGGTTGATTCTGAACTGCAGAATTACCTATGATACTCTTTTCCCTGCATTTCAATTGCTGACGATGCGAAGATTTAGTAGGCAAATCCCTGTCACACACCGTGGCCATTAGGTTAAGCGCTCGATGCGGCCGACCTTCAGAGCTTCAAATGCTGAGATTAGCCAGATATAGGATTTGTTTTCACAACCAAATTTTAAAATCACAGTGAAATCATGCACACAATCGAAGAAATTCACAACCATAGCTATCAATGAGGTAACAACATACACAAGCGAAGTGATTTATGATTTGAATTGACAACATTGGACGTACATAAACCACACATTTAGAGATGTTTTGGAGCGATAAATGAGTTCTTAAAAAACTTGCTGATGCTTCTTAAGAGGCTCAAAACTGAAATAATTTCCAAGATGTATCTGCCCAGGGGAGTTCTTACACAACTAGGAACAACGCTCTTTGACAGCAGGCTTGAAGTGGCAGGGGATCCCCCCTATTGTTAACTATCCTCCCTTCCGTTGAGTCTCTGAACTCGCTGAATTTCATCCTGCAGCACATCACCAATAGAAATGAATCTCAGCTTAGTGTTTTGAATATTCGACAATTGGAAGTGATAGTGACAACTTGCTATTACTTGATGATCTGAGAGGCACAGTAATTGTGAAACAAGGTTCAGAATTTATATTAACACAGGGTTCAGGTACTTGAGGTTGTGCAGAAGACGAAAGCCCACTATTTCTGAGGAATCCGTCAGCATTTCAGCCATCTCCTTAACCTCGTCTGCGTCAAGCAGAACTTTCATCATTGAAATAAACATTACTAACTGAAACTCTTCGATATCAAACAACTACGCAGAGATTAGTTTCAATTTGTAACTCTAAAGGTGTACTTCTTGTTGTAATAATACATGTTAAACAAACCAGAAACATTTGAATCTTTTCCATCCCAGACGGTATAAACAGACAGCCAAATATCTAGAAAGTGCTTCAATCGATGAGCAAAGGTAGATTTCAACAAAGATGCAGGAAACGTGATAATTACGAATACATTCGATGTCCAAACGATTCCCTCAAGAAAATGCTAGCAAGTCTCAGTTCTTTAAATAGAAAAAACAAAAACAACACATTTACTTGTTTTTCAGAAAATTTTCAGATATTGCAAATTATCGAGGAACCATAAACATTGTGAGACATGAGGCAACCCACATGTGCTGGAGGAAAGACTAAGACTGCAGCCCATGCAAGACTGTGAGGCACACACAGACTGCATCGCCAAACGCCCCATTGTTTGAGCCTCTTCACTTAGCATGCTCAATACAGACACATTCAGCAACATCCCAGTAACGGGGAACACAAATTTACTTCACAGTGGCCAGTCAGTGGGTACAGTTCATGATTCACACTATATCATCAACCTGCGATGGGCAAGTTTTTGAGATTCGTCATAACGATCAAGCAGATAAACTAATCAGTGAGAAATTCGATTTTATGCCGATAAGTGATCAAACCTGACCAGCTTAGCAGTGAACTCCTTGCATTGGTCGAAAAAGCCCCCAAGATATGCACCTGAAGCCATCGTACTTGGCTCCAATCTATTGAGAGTACATATCGAAAATTGTTGCAAAATTGGTGAGATCCACCTACACAAACAACGGAAAAGCGTTGGCAATTGTTGACACCGTAGACGTCAACTTAGAGAAACATTGAGAAAGTAATTTCAAGTCAGCAGTGTATCGAGCAATAACCTGCAGTTGACTTTGATCCCACAATTTAACAGGCTGCAGATTCTCAGAACAACTTAACATCGTTTAATTTATTATGCAAAGAAACTATGTCATGGATGGTGAAAACGAATAAAAGTTTAACAATTCCAGCAAACGCATAAAATAGAGTAACTTAAATACAGAAAGACAGGTACCACGAACACAATGAGTTGACACAAGTGGAATCTTGAAAAGAACGTCCAAAGGGCTTGCTTCACAACACGTCTTGAGTACTCTGCATGTCGTCAGGATGTCCTTTTCGGTAGGGACTGAACAAAAAGAATAAAACCTGTCTCTTGCTATCATTCAGCCTCATCGACCTGCACTTGCTTCCTGTAACATTGGCTGTAGGTAACAAGCAAAGCTCAACGTGATGGAAGGGGACAGACAAAAAATGAAAGTTGAGAGTACAAGAGTGCCTGAACCATAGAGTAACGTAGCAGCAGCATATGGTGAGGCACTTCGGTGCGCTCTATAATCACAATGGAACTCCCGGCGGGAATCCTACCACCTATGATCTGTGGGTAGGTATTATGACAAACTTTTGAAATACAACCTGATAAGAACCTTCTTACGTCACTGACTGTGCAACTATTTGAGACTACGATGGGCAGAAAAGGAGTAACATGAATTGCTAGCTGAAGCCTCTGAGACATTTAGTTAGGAATGTTGAGAAATGCTTGAAAACTGATACTGAAGTCAACAAGGCTGGTTTGAGGGCCACTTAATGAGTAAACAATCATGACGTAAGGACGACTCTCAAAGCCATCTATTCCGAAGGCCACAAGAAAGATCATGAGATGTAGGTCTGACACCCCCTTCGGAGTCGCCATTTCCTGCAGCCCCCTTCCTCATGGCACTCCTCATCCCTTTCATCTACGTTGCCTATTGATATTTGGCAGCAGGCGATCTCGCTTTAACCATCCCAACAAGCCTGGAACATGCCCAACAGTCATTAAACCATCATCAGAATTACCAATCTCCCCGAAAACTTGAATACGACATCTAATACACTTAATAAAAGTTAAATTTAATTTAACAAGAAGATGAAGAAGAATAGGTGAAGATGCAAGAAAGGAAGAAACTGTCTAGGCACCACAAAGAGCTAATCGCATCAATTGTCGTCCCAAACTCAAGCGAGGAACGTTAAACTTGTCTCATAAGCTTTCTCAACAATAAACTCTAATCACTGGCGATTCCGACGCTGAACCCAAACTACCACCTCATGGTGATACCACCAAATGAAACCCAGAACCCAAACATACAAGCAAATTTAACCAAGTGAACAACTAAGCAATCACCTGTCAATCCTTAAACTCGGAACCCCCTAGAAGCCAATGCACCAAATATCAGAACTCAAGACCACGTGACAATCTCAGCCCCGCCGCAAGGCACTCTTCCAGCGCAATAGAACCAACGCCCTCCATGACAAATGCAAAACCCAGTGGAAGCACGACTCTCCACACAACTGCATCAAACTTTGAATTCCAACACAAATTCACCTCAAGGATTCCGCAGAAGCAATTGATCGAGAAGATTAGTATCATGAAGAGATTGCCTGCAAACGACTCAAATCGCAATCAACAATCCTCGGCCAGATCAGGGCAATCTGCTTTTCAAGCGAAGCAGGCTATTCCCTGAAGCTCATGAAACCTTGATTGGGGTGCTCCTTGATTGCTTGAATTTCGCTACAGAAGGCGATATTTTGAATTGTGGGTTTTATTATTCACATGGAGATAATTACGGGTTAGTAATTTCAGCGTTCAGCGAGGCAGATCCCGAACGTACTGCCGATTCTTCTCAATCACTGAGCGGATATTCCGCGTGGTCCATTCGCGCGGGCTTTTGTCCCGTAATTCCTCCCGCCAAGGGCTTGGTAGCTACGAATGTTCGAGGGATGTACCTCACATGTACTCGCGCATTCATCCTTTTATCATCCAATCAGTGTTTTTAATCCCTTTGGGGAAAATCAACCCTCTTTGAGTTCACATGATGTCCCACAAAAATGCACTTTATGCACTTAATTCACGATTTAGAGAAAATTTGAAGTAGATTATACTTGTAGATGTAAGTGGTTCTTACTTTAGGTTTTTTCGTATAATCTTTGTGATTTATTTGTAATCAACAGTTTAACGGTATGCTTGTCTTAAAGATGGTGATGAAATAAAGTAACTTTTTGGTAAAGTTAAGTACATTCTTGGTTTTTTGAAGACATTCAAGTGTAGAAAATTCATCCAGTTTTTTTGCAATGGGAACTTTGAATTTTCTACATATACTTATTCCACATTGATATATTCTGAAGTTATACTTGTTTTGTATATATATATATATATATATATATTCATATTTGTACAAGAGGCCGTTGTGGTGGATTTAATTGCACCCAACTCTTCACTGATAATGCTTTAAAAAATTACAAGTTCATATGATAAATTTATTCTATGATTGCCACTTAGTATTTCAAGTGCATGTGAAGGCACGTTCAACATGCATATTTGAATGATTTTGATAGTTTTGTAATTAGATGCCAAATGCTCTCAATTACTGAATCTAAAACTATACTTTGAAAGACTTGGTCAATTAATAATTTGTTCACGATACAAATATAACGTTTTTCCAACTCTTGAAATGACTAGGCTGGTACTATCTTTGTCAACATAGGGATATGTTTCTTAGTTTTGACACATTCAAAATCAGTATTAAACTTTAAAATAACTTCATGGCTTTAATTCAGACTTTAACAATTGATTAGCACCTTCATGTTATAATACTGTTATCTAAAAATGTATTGTTCATAATCTTAAACTGTGATTGATGATATGATTTCACAATTTACTGTTAGCAAAACAAAATGCATAATACTTATTTTACAAAATTATGTATGCGTTCTTAAATAAAGATAGAATAGAATGTACGTCTTCATTTATATGTAAATTAATACACATACAAATAGAATAGTATGTTTTAATAACTTTTGACAGTAAAGAAGTGCTAATTTGGGGGAATTTTAACCTATTATCAAGAAAATAGTCATAATAGCGAAAACATATATTTTGTTAGATAGAAGTGCAATGTAAGTAATTTATTTCTTAGAAAGATTAGTTCTGAAAACTTGTTGAATAATTGTTAGTAGTACACACCAAAGCAAATAGTTATTTTATTTATTTTGAACAGCATTTCATATTTTGCCTTAAATTTAGATGTTCACTGTCAAAGATATACATACATACATACATTGGGGTTTGCACTTTAACTATTCTAAGAGTAAAAAATATTTCAGTGTTGTAATAATATTCCAATATTAATTTTGTTCGAGTATGTTCCTTTTTAAAATTTCAATTATGCCAATAATATATATATATATATATATAAAGTCACATCAGTACAAGATAATTTTATTTATTTATTTTTCCCATCAACCAAGATATGGTTATATGATTCTGACCTTCAAATTCATTGACTGTGTAATTTTTTCATTAATTGCATTCTGTACTTCTATTTTTTTTTTATTATTGTATAAATTATGTAACATATATGTATATGAAATAAAAAATGTGTGGTATACATTTCATAACATGTATACCTTTTAAAAGTTGCAATCTTATTTTGGTTATTTTTAATATCAGTATTACAACAATTCCCTCCCACTCTGTATATATTAAACAATTCTAAAAAAAATTAGGTGTAAACATGGACCAAACAATCGAATTTCTATTTGATTAGAAACAACTTGTACATTTTAATCTATTTTTCATCCTCGCATTCAAACAAAAAAACTTTTTGTATTTGTAAGAACCTGTTTTAAATAGTCAAGAACTTTTTTGTTACAATAAAATTTTCACAACAACGTTTTTGTATAATAACAGTTTAAATTGAGAATATTGGAAATGAAATTTAATGAAGTTATTTTACGCATAATAGTGTTTCCTGTATTTTTTGAAACAAACTCAAGGAACTGATTAATCCATGATTGCTAATCTCCATACTATATGATGTAAATTCAATAAAATCATGGAGAATTGTGTGTATAGAATGTTAACTAATGATGTTAACAGAATAAAAATAAAAATGGTTTTACAAATTTTATAAAATGTTTGGTGAATTAATATTACTAGTTTATGTTTTCATGGTACGTTATTACTGAAAGCACCAGTTGCAAATCCATTAATTAAATCGTTTCCCATATTCTTTCAACAAGAAAGAATAATACCTAGAAAGTGTTCAGATTTTGGAAATTCTCATTAATATTTCTTATTATAAAATTGATTCCTCGTGTCCAAGTAGTTGAATATTGTTCAATTTTTTGGTTCAAAAAGAATACATCACAACAAGAAGGACCCAGATTTTAAATTTGGATTGCTAGATTTGTTTTTGGTCACATCAACAAAGGAGCACCAAAGATCATCCAAAATGGATGCACAGAGAAGTCCGATGCGAGGCAGTGTTGTAGGTGAAGGCGCCTACGACGAACGAAATTCGCGAGTGGACGAAGAGGAGCGGACGAGGGAGGCGTCGCTTTAGATGAACGTTGTCCCCCTTCGGCGAAACTTGAACGCTCACGAGTACAAACCTGCCGTGGATCCGATCTGCGGGAGACCTCGCAGCGGCAGCAGCAGTAACAGGAGCAGTGGGATTGGGATTTCGGAGCGCATGAATGGAGTTTCGCGCAGGCTGGAGTTTCGTCGAGGGTTTGGTAAATCTGTGTTGTTAATTCAGGAGGGCATTGTGAGAGGGCGCACTGAGGAGAGCGTAAAAGCGTAATCTGGAGGAGGAGGAGGTGCAGCAGTAGGGAGAAGAAGGCACGGCCGGGTGTGTGACCAATGCGGATTGCACTTCGCGATCGGGTTGAGGGAGGTTAGTTAAGAGGCACGAGGAGCAGCGGATCTGGAGTTGCGGCCTCGAAGCGGAGTGGAGCCAAAGCAGACTGCATCGAAGGCCTTGGCTCTGCTTCGCCGCCTGCAAATTGCTTGTGCGATTGATGCTGAGGTTGCGCACCCCGCTGGTGAGTGCAAGAGGTAGCGTTTTGTTTTTGTTTTTGTTTTTTTCCCTTTCGCGTGGTGCGTCACGAGTGTGAAGAGATGTGCGGACGTGTGTCTAGCTGATGGAAGATTACGGCTCGGCTGAATGCTGCATTGTCGTGAGGATGTTGCGGAGATCCAGCGTCTGTAGTGGCGGACTTTCTCACGAGGTTGGCTTTTTTTTATTGTGCTGGCAGAGGCGGTAATGCTTGTTGCGTAAGTCGCAATGTGTAGGGTGGAGTAGTTTTGCAGTGCGGACAATTTGGAGCATTGAATTCCTGACTTCGCTATTGCATGTGAGAATTTTTCGTTTTCTTCGTGGAGCCTTGCAAATCTTCTGTAGTCTACTGTGTCCCTCCTTGCGCACACCTGCTTACATTGTCGTGGACTAATGGGATCTTTCTGGGAAAACAGTCCTGGTGATTTGAATCTGCAAATTCGATGTAGTGTCTTATCAGTTTAAGATTCTTTTTCAAAATGAATTACTTATTCTTTGATATTTTTTCCCGGAAGATCCAGAAGTAGTGCAATTTTGTGAGGATTTTTTTGCCTCTGCCAGGTCCGTCTTAGATTGAGAGGATGTTGCTTTAATGTGGGCTTTAAACGTAGCATTATAGCGGGGTTTTGGTGTACTCATCTATTGGATCTATTGTCTGGTCCATTGGTTGGATGTTTTAGGGTTTAAGAATTGCTGTGGATCTGAGCTCAGCATGCATGTAGTTTACTCCCGTGAGTTGGTTTCATGCTACTTCTCTGTATTAGTCCACTTCACCCGTCAGACTGGAATAAACCCCTACACATTCTAGCAAGTAGGTACAAGAGGAATGTCAATCAGTGAAGTCGAATGAGTTGTAAGAGAGTTTCACTTAGATTTGGATTTGATAAGTTTGACGTCAAACTCGGAAGATCCAGTCAAGCCTAGATCAAATCAATGTCCACATCGATCAATGCGATCAACATTGAGCCCTATTTCCTGCATTGATCTGATCTAGTCTATTGCACAAGGTTTATTAAGAACCTACGGCCCTGTTTTGCGAGTATAAAATATTTGAGACTTCGTCTGTTTTTTGTTGATTTCTTGTACGTGATGAAAGTGACACAGGGAAATTAACGAATTTGTCAATTTGGGAATCATGTCTATCATAATTCTTGTCAGGGGGAAATAAAAAAGCTTTTTTAGGAATCGTGTTATGTTGCTTGACTTGCAGCTTTGAACTTCTGGAAAGGTATCAGAAGTATAAGACAAGAAGGAAAGGAGGTCGTACGAAGTAGCAATGGTGGCTGTACAAGAATAGTATCCTCCTACCATTTAGTAATGGATTACGCACGAATTTTTCATTTAGCCAAGTTGACATTTATCAGAGATGTAGCTTATTAGGACTTTTTTTTTTTTTTTTTTCGTCTTTTAAAGTTACTAGGATTCAGGATTTAGTTCACAATTTGGTGGTTGTGATTTATCGCGTGGCTGCAAATTCCTTGACCTTGTTCTCCAGCCGTATTGTGCTTCCGTTTACGGTGGAAGAGGTACCTCCTACACTGCCATTTTATGTATAGTTTGCGCAGCTCTGATTTATGTCTCTTCCAAGTCTTATGCTAGGATTTTTGGTAGTGTTCTTCGAGCCTTATCAAGATGTTAAGATCAGGTGACAAACTATATGTGTTGTTATTTGTGCTGTTTTTAGGTTACAAAATATGTGGTCTTCAACGCAAATTATTAATGCTTGACTGAGTTTTGTTTCTTTTGCTTTGCAGTACAAGATTGCTCAGCTGTATATGGTTGCTAAATTCAGTGCCAGTGAATCATCCGGAGGTGATGGGGACGGTGTTGAGGTGTTGAAAAACGAGCCTTATGAAGAGAATGATACTCGTGGCCAGTATACGCATAAAATATATCACCTAGCTAAGTCAGTCGACTGTAACCTTTTTTAAGCCTTTTCTATACTATTTCAGGGATAATGAGGCTTTAGAGATTAGGCTGAGGCAAATTGTCGTTGTTTCAATTATGAGGGGTTTGTTTACTTGCTAGTATTGGTGATGTCATATCGTGCCGAATTTTTCATCATGCACATCTGGTAACTTAATCTAGCGTTTGCAACACCGACTCTCTAGTCTGTTGTAATTGAGTTTTTTGTGTTGATTGTAGCAAGTTGCCAAGTTGGCTCGTGAGCCTGGTGCCAAAGAAAGCTTTGATGCTTGAGGAAGAGGCTTGGAATGCTTATCCGAAATGCACTACTGGTTTGTTACAGAACCTGACCTTCATAGTGTATTCTGATTTGTTGTCCGCAAGCATGAGTTTCCTTTTGAAAATAATCGGTGCTTGCAGTATGCACTTTAGAGTTTGTTTTGATTTTTCCTCTCCCCTTCCCCAACCTATTCACTCCCTCTTGTAATGCACTTCATAATATTTTTTGAAATGGCTGTTGATGGGGCGTGGTGATGCTGGATGCCGGATGCCCTTGTGAACACCAGTCTTGAAGGTGTGTAACTATAATTCCTGGTTAGCTTTGTGACATACGAGGTCTGATATTAAAAGACATCGTATTCTGTCAGTCGGGCTTCGGGGCTTGACATACTGCAGTGTATGTGCTCCAGGTTTCTTTGAATTGGTCATTTAATCAACTGCTCATTTCTCATGTCTTTGGTGAACTCGAAATTGCTGCGAGATCCATCGAATGCCTCTAATATGTGGCTGTTTGGTTGGATGGATTGCAGTGCCCTTATTTTAATAAGCTCCGACTGATATTGGAAACCACTCACCTACCCGATCGGGGGACAACTGAAAATGTAAGCCAGTTTCTGTTTCATTTACATTTTCTCTGGTCTTTTCACCTTTTGCAAGGAGTGAGGAAGATATGCAATTCATGAGTTCGTCGATTCAGCCAGAGATCTGAAATTCTGCTACTGTCATAGAAAATGAGATTTGTTCAGGTTTGAGGCTCGTGGCTTTCATCGCAACTTATTCTTCTAATGTCCAATGACAATGTCTGTTGCAGTGATATCATCGCATGTACGGTGCTGCACTCTTATATTTTCCTTCAATGATTGTTGACTTATTGTAGCGTTTGAGGATTCACAGGCTCTGAATCTGGACGCCAAAACCGTCAAGAAGCGGCAAGTCGAGTTCATTGACATTGCCATGGATCCTGTGGAGAATTATGTCGAGAGTGAAGATCCACTGAAGTTCAAGTCACAAAAAACCGGCAGGGGTCCTCTGCAAGAAGGCTGGCAGGTAGGTTGATTCTTCACTAATAATTTTCGGATCCATGAGTGCGTATAGCGAAGACACTGTGCAGTGTTCATGGCTTTAGATAGAAGTAAAATGTCGGGAAAACCTCGTGATATGGTTAGGAAGTCCGAGGGGTTGCATTCTGATATTGTGTCCACTATTTTTGCAGAAAACATGTGAACCAGTCATGTGTGCATACAAGTGTGTGACAGTTGACGTGCCCTACTGGGGGTTTGGTTCGCGGCTTGAGAAGTTCATTTCCAAGGTACCTCGTCCTGGATTTATTCTATGTCATCGTCATTTTGCTTGCTTTATTATTTTGTTCTCTACGTTAACTTTAAGTTTTGACATCGTGTGATCTGGCTTGTTTGCAAAGTTCGGAGCAGAGCAGGTTAAGGCCGAATAGTAGATGGGTTCAATTGCATTATCCTTTTGTAATCATGATAACTTTCACTAGATGAGATAAATGAACTAATTTACGCATGGAACTTATTGGCCGAGAATGTAGTAATATCAGGGCACAATGCACTACATCCTTAGCTTTGAAATGCACCAACTCGTCAGCAGAAATATATCTTTGTCATTTCTTTAAGAAATTACGCTTCTCCAATCACTGTCTCTAGATATTGCGTATTTTTTAACCTTCAAACTCCTTGCACTTGAAGCCTGTCACTGAAATGGTGTGAATATGTGCTGCAGAATGCACAAAGAAAAATCCTGCTGGAAGGTCACCGGAAATGTTTCTGCTGGCTTGATGAGTGGCATGGATTAACCATGGAAGATGTTCGTCGCATGGAAGATGAGACCGCGGAAGCTCTGGCAAAAGTAATATTCTTGGGAAGTCAACTAGTAATCTAGTGAATTACAAATAATCCGAAGTGAATCTATAGCTTTTAAGCATCATAGAACACCATATCGTGCTTATTGCGATTGTGCCTGGAGTTGAGGTTTCTGATAGCTGAATGATTACTTCATCTGTTCATACATCTGTGAAACAGGCTCGAGCTCTGGTGTTAAAGAACAATGGGGCCCAGGAAAACGGGGGCACAGAATCTGAAGTACCTGCGGAAGCTGAGGCTGAAACTACACCGGTATACTCGCTATTATTGTTCATATTCTGTTCACATGTCGAGTGTGACAGAATTCCGATATGTTGTCCATGAACATCGCATTAGATTTTTTTTGCTTTGAAAACTAATATCTTGTGTTGCTGAATCAGAAGATGGATGATCATGACAAGGTATTGGGGTCTCGGGTTTCATCGATCTCTAGAACCAAAGACGGTACTGGGAGCCCTCGTCTTATGAGACGGCCAAGTCTGGTTGGTCCTTCAGTTGCAATGGGCATCACAACCATGTCTGCTTCTGATGTAAGTAATCTTTACTATCGAAATAACAGTGCCTGGCAGAGTATGTTTTCTGTTTCGCTTACGTCAACTATTTTTATAACAGTGATGTTAGATGCCCCAAGTTGCATTCCATGCTGTCTTTTGCAGTAATACTGTTGGGAATAAATATGAGTTGGCGTGTTGATTTCATCAAGGTTGGAGAGGAAGATGGCTTTCATTTAGCCAGCACAGCGCCACCACTGCCGTCTCCAAAATGGAAATCGAGCTCTATCCGGAACTCTATTCCTGCTAGTTCTGAGAAGGTTACGCTCGACAACGGTGGTGGATCATCCGAGTCTTTCTCCTCGTTGAAAGATGAGTCGAATTGGGAGTCAGCTAATGGACATGATGACAATGAGGTAGCAGCTTGTGTTGCAGTGCTCGACCGGGCCATAGCATGGGCCAAGGCCAGATCCGCAAAGCTAGCCACTCAGCCATCACGTCCAGCCAAGGGTGTGGTTGCTCCGATTGGCTCTCCTATTGCTGGTGGTCCTGAAGACCAAGGGAATCTGATAAAGTTCGAGAACTTAACAGGTGCTGTGACAGTCATTGACAAAACTATGTCTGCAGTCAAGCGGCGTCCAACAACTCAGCCGAAGCTGAGCCACAGTCTCACTGCATCATAGTTGCACCCTCTGCTTGCAAAGCCAGTTACAGAATTTTGAATATCTAAATATGATATTTTTGTTTGGAGAGGGCGGACGGACTAAAAATCTTTCAAATGCTGGCGGTGATTAAAAAAGAAAGAAAGAAAGCTAGTGTCATGCATTCTGCGAGGACGTCCATCTCCTCAAGGAGCAACTCTCCATTGTAAGTTGTTAAAGTGGACAAATGTCCTTTCACTGCCTCATATTATCCATTTAGTCACATTTTTAATTCAATAAAGTCATTTAGGGGTTCCAATTCAACGTTTCTGTCATGTGACTATTTCCCTCATATCTGGCAGGGTCCTTGAGGATGTTATTTGACCTTTTCCCACTTTCTGTCACCTGACCTGGTGTCAACCAGCAAGTATGGGTCCTGCATAGAGGTTGACATCCATGATCCCGAGGATGCCAGCAGACGGAGGATGTTTTTTTTTTTGTAGCGTTTCATAGTTCTCATTTTGAATGACGAGTTTATATGGTCGGTTGCATCATACTTCTTCCGTAGCTTATGATCTTTCTTTTTTCTTTTTTTTTTGTCGCACCATTCGGAGTGGGTAAGAAGTATGTTCCTTGATGGATATTCTCTAGAATAATCAAAGCAACAATTTCGATGATGAAGTCCGATCTGAAATTGTCCACATCGTATGCGCAAACTTCCTGTGACGTGCACAAATTTGGGTAGAATATAAGCTGGTGACTAATTGACCAGAATGAAGTCCTCACCTACTGTACTGTGGGGTTCTTCACTGGAAATAAAGCTTTCATTGTGATGTGGTGACGTGTGACTTCATACTTGTGTGTACCCAACTGTAGGTGTAAGATTGTGCATGCAGAAATCTTGTACATGCAGGAACATCTCATTGTAATGCTTGAGCTTTTAAGGACTAGAAATTGCTCGACACCATGCTGGTGCTTTTACGAACTTGACAAGTGGCATTAAGATGAGATTACTTAATCACCATACTGTTGTCGCCGCGTATGCTTTAAAATAGTGATATATGCCACACAGACCAACTGGATGGCTTTTATTTTTGTGTACGTGATTATGTAAGCATTATCTATTGCAGGAAACGTTTGCACAATTAAACTCGAAAAATACACGTATACATTGCAAAGAACAATGAGGAAAATAATCAAACATTTGACTTATTCTGGACCTTCACTTGTGTGTCAGCATTGATTGTGTTGTCCCATTTTCATTTCGTAGGTTATGGAAGAAATAGTCAACTTGTACAGTCACAATTCAAATCTTAAGAGGATCTTATGTATTTATATATAAATGCTTACAGATTTCGATTTCGAAAAGACTAATGGGAATCATTGTTTTGTATAGAAAGACAACGAAGCACGGTAAAGCAGACATTGCACAACAGAATGGAATTGTAGACCAAACGTGCATCGCATTTCCTTCACCTATACAGATGTGCTCGTCCTTCAACAACAGAACATGTCTCGGTGGATGGATGTCGACAGTTTTTGCGTAGTTGGATCGAAGGCTGGACTCTCAAGGCGAAGGCTCGTCAAAATGTTTGCGACTCTCTAGAAAGAGAGTATTTGTCTAAATCCATGAACATCTCCGACGGGCAAAACCCAAAAAGCTGCTAAGAACTATTCACTGCATATTGGTCGCCTTCGTGCAAGCAGAGATCGGGGGAAAGTTGGTAAATCTCCCTGCGCTCACAGACACAATGCTGATAATACTAGAAGGCTGTCCCTGCTCAAGCTGAGACGGTGGTGACGAGTCTCGTCTCGTCTCGTCTCGTCTCGAAAATGCACAGCGAAAGTGGGTGGATAGGGAAAGCCATGTGAGCAGGTAGAAAGCGCAAATCAAACACATCCCAATCTGAGACGGAAAAGGAGGACAGAGACTTGGGTCGAAAGGCATCGATCATGACCAACCGAGCTAAAAATAGTACCAAAATCTGAGTCTTGAGACAACTTGTAGGAGTGGAGGGAGAGTCAGACTGCCAGGAAACATCCGCTAGAACAAGAGCGCAACGCAACAGCAATCCGAGCCGTAGATCGCCGAAGAACGAAACCGTAGAATACGGCTCTTCCCTTCTTTTTCCCTTTCATACGTTTCGATTTTTTTTCTTCAACCGATTTCTCCTTCCATTTCCAGTTTCCCGTCCAAAGTCACGGCACTGCGTTTGGTCTTCGTTCTTCGCCACCAATCCGTTTCTCCCTCGCCCAGTCGCAACCTTTCTGTCTTCCTTCCGCCTTCACCGCTCGGTCTGTTTACCCACACACGATCTCTTTCAGCCAGATTAATCATCGACTCGCCCTCACGCAAAAGAAGAAACGGCGTGAGACCCTCAACTCTTTACAATTTTTTTGGGTTGCTGTTATCGCCATTGCCTCGCCTCGCCTCCAATCGAAGCGGAAAAAAGAACTAGGGGGGCGGCTGCTGATTTTGAGAATTTCCCTGTTGTGTAGCCCATTTGTCTGGGTCTAGGGTTTGGGCGTCATTTCATCTAGTGTGCATCGGAGACAGAGCTTGGTATTGAGGATTCCTGTGCGACCATGGCGATAGTGTGAGGGAGGTGAAATATAGGACTTGTGTGAAGTGCGTGTGGGAAAGTGCGAGGGTTTTGGTGCAGGTCTTGCGAAGTGGAGTGACGGATAGGGTGGGGGTTTCTAGGTTTGGGCCTGAGGTTTTGGCGGTTTCTGAAGCGGGGTGTAGAGGCGGGTGAGATTCATGGTCTAGGGAATTACACCCGTGGGTTGGGTTGGTAATTGTGAGGGGTTTTGGAGGGGGAAGGCAAGCCATAGCGGTGATTTTCTTTGCAACTGCTTGGGGATGGTTCCCCCGTGAGCATCTGGTGGGAGGTGGTGTGCGCTTTGTGAGTGGTTTTGATTGTGGGAGATACGATTCTAAGACAAACAAGGCAACGACGAAAAGGAAGTCGCTGGAAAGGAGTGAGGGTGGGTAGTTTTGTGAGCGAGGGCATTGGACAGGTTTTGGTGGTTGTGGATCCTGCCTTGGTTGCAGGACTGGTGACTTGGATGGCCTCTCTGTGTGGAAGAGTTAGGGTTTGCAAAGCGGGGTAGCAGCAGGCATGGCAAATACTGCGGGGTGCTGGGAGAGATTCGGTGCTTGTTGCTGTTGACCTTCACAGGCACGAAGTGAGGCAATTCCAGCAAGGGTCAAGATATTTTTTATGATTATTCGGATGTTCATGCGCACTTGCTGTCTCAGCATACTTGGTGCATAGTGAATAGTTGTGTATTGCTTAATTTCGTCTCAGGGTTTTCGTACGCTTGGTTTCCGTTTCGAGTTTCCGAGCTGTTCAGTTTGCGGAAGAGAAGGTTACTTCGGTGAAGACCACTTGCTCTTGGCGTACGTGAACATTTGGATTAGCTTTCTCGCGCATCTCCGTGATGGGCATTTTGGGTACATTTTGGACTGTTCTTAAATTACTAGTAGCACTAGTCTAGTGCTGAATCCGGGGGGTTTTACAGTGTACTATAAAGGACTGTGCAGTTGATATTCAGCTTGGGTTTTCCTGACGCTTCTAGTGGAGCTTACGGTTTAATTTGGAAGACTATTGGGAGGTATCTTATGTATATTGAAAGATCTGGCAATTTCATCGTTGTCAGCCGTGTTACGCTTCGAATCGGAAGAAGTGTCGCTGTGGAGTGCTGGAATTCGTATTAGAGTGATACTTGAGTGATACCAAATGGATTGTGTTGTTTCTTAGGCAACACAAAGGCCCTGATTAGTTGTGAACGCTGGAGTTCTTTGGGAAATTATCAGGAATTGTGGTCCTGATGTAATTGAACCCTCGCATTCTTCTGGATGAGTAGAAAGAAAGAGGGACTTATTGTGGGTGCTTCCAGATAGTGCTTGTGTGAGATGATTGACCTTGATGATGTTGTAGTGTGAGGAAGAGGATTTATCCTGGCGAGGTTGGTGAGGTTTTTGTGTATCCTTTAAGAGAACAGGTCGAGATTGGTGGTAGTCAGAAAGTGACTGTAGGTTTCCTGCCGGCAGACCTATCATGGTCTGTGGCAGGGATGGAGAGAAGTGAGCCATCCTTGGTTCCGCAATGGCTCAAAGGGGCCGGCAGTGGCGGGGTTGGCGGGGCAAGCCACTATTCGCAGGCACCATCTAATCATCAAGGTGCCTTTAGCTCTCCTCTTTTTTTTTGTTTTTTGTTTTTGAAATTACTGTATTGCAAGTATTAATCATGGAGTTGGGACGAGGGATATTTTCCCGTATCATGATTACACTTCCGCTTTCACAATGTTAACTATTGCTTTTTCATGGTGCTGTATGACAAAATCCGCTTCGGTAAAGGGAAGAGGCCTGTTCAGGTCTTATTATTTCTGGTTGGTACGTGGTGACGGGGTTAGGGTACAGAACCTAGTGAAGCTTAAGATTTTTTCAGAGGGTGTAAACTTATGTGCCAACTTATGAATGGATTTGATGAGATACTGTGTTCGTATTACTGGTGCAAAGAAGAGCGGTGTGGCTATGCAGTGGAACATTGGCATACCACCGGACTATGTGTTAGCTTCCTGTCAAGACAGTCACGTTTGATGATTTACAGTTTGGGCTTCCTTTGTATGAGCACGACAGGCTTGCGCAGTACCTTAGAAAGGGTTTGTGTAGTTAGTGAGTGTGGTAGTTCTTCACGGCTTGGGGTTAGGGCATGACACAGTGACTGTAATACATGGAACCTCACGGACTGTCATTGGTCAAGTTTTGTGGATACGGAAATTCTGGCATTTGTTAGTGCCTTGTAACACTAATCTGGAAATGTCGTTGTTCAGATGAGAGTGGGGGAAGCTTTGCGTTGCGTCCTCGTGTTCCTTCACCCGGGTTAGCAAGTGGAGGTAGGGATGCTGAATATGATGCGCCCCGTTTTCCACCTTCGTCCTCTGATCGTGCATATTATTCATCAGTTAGACGGGGATCTGGAGGAGGAAGCAGTGGCATCGGCGACCGCTCAACACAAGAGAGGGAGAGTTTTTCACGTGGGTACACCAATTTTGGTCGCAGTAGTACATATCGCAGTTATGATGCTGGTTTGGATCGTAGTGACAGAGACGCCAGTAGAGAACGGGATTGGGATTGGGACCGAGACAGGGAGCGGGACGGGCGAGATAGGAGCAGGGTTTTGGGTGGTTTTGGAGGATCCGATGAGAGAGAAAGAGAGCGCACCGAGCAGTCTGACAGTTTATCCGCATTTCGGAGGCCCGGTTTAGGTCCATTGCCAGGAAGTCGGTATGAGGCAGATTTATCTGCACCACTTCGACGAGTTCAATCGATGGGATCAGGGGCTCGAGCGCTTGAGAACGGGGAGAAGAAAGTTGCGGAGGCAGGGAACCTTCCAACAGCTCCTCCCTCGAATAGCGGTAGCTTGACAAGCAGCATGCAGAAAGCAGCATTTGAGCGTAATTTCCCTTCCCTTGGTGCTCAAGAGAGGGGCAGTGGTGTGAGCGGTTTACTGTCAAACTTGGGGAACTTGGTGATTTCGAGTCCTCGGCCTCTATGGCAAGGTTCCTCCACACCAAGGATGGACGGAATAAGGTCAACAGCATCTTCACCTGGTCTGCCTACTGGTGGTACCTCTGGTAGTGGCCTGACATCTACAACATCAGGAGGTATCAGCGGAGAAGGGTGGAGCTCCGCATTAGCCGAGGCTCCCACTGTTGTGAATGGCACAGTGGTTGGTCATTTGGGCTCTCCTGGTGCTGTAACTACTCCATCAACTTCAGCTCTAGCAAGTATTCCAGTGACTGGGAGCGTGACGAATCCTCCAAAGATGGCGGACGCGCTGGTCCAGATCCATCCTCGCGTGCGCACCCCTCCACGGGTATGATATGATTAGCGTGCTGCTGTTTTTGCATGTGCACCCCATCCCTAGCGCTGACGTATGAGCATTGCGTGCAGTTCATGGAAAGCTTTGAAACTATCTGGAAGGGACATGTAGATTAAGCGCGGTGTTACACATTTGGGGATGATGTTGACGTTTGGTTAGATGTCTAGAGTTCCCAGTGTTTATTGACAGTTTTACTCTTCTTTGAGTTATGAGTTGATGTGCAAAAAGCTTTTCGCGATTTAATTCTGTGGAACGAACGATGGATTGTAACTCACAACTCAACTATTGATGGCGTAATGATTGTAGTATTCGGTTGAGAAGGAGCGGTTGGAGGAGCGTGCTCTGCAGCAGTCTCGGCAACTGATTCCAATGGTCCCAAAGACTCTGGTGGGTTTTTTGTTCTTAGCGTTTGAGTTGATGATACGTGAATGCGTTCGAGATTTCCTAGCAACAGGGCTGTTAATTTAGAAAAAAGTAATATTTCATGCTAAATAGAGGTTTATGTATTCGCGTTGTTGATATCAGCAATGGGTATCTTTGTAGGGCCCTTCTCCGCGGGATAAGAAAGTGGATAGATCGGTGCATGTGACAGCTCCTTCAAACGCCATGAAGCCAAGGCTGGTGATGGGTACCTCCCAGCAGGTTCCGAGCTCGCCTTACCGGCCTCCAGCATCTCGTTCCGAGGCTTTAAAATTGGGGCAAGGAACGGGGAAGATATTGACTAGGAAGGTTCCGGTTAAAGAGGTGGTTTCGGTGTTACCCTCTCCTCCTGTTAGTATGGGTCTGAAAACCGAAGCTTCACCGCTGGTGGCGACGAGTTTAGTACTCCCCCTATTGAGTGGAGGAAGCTCTGCGAGTGCAGTCGGAGTTTTGAGCAGCGCTCCTCGTAAGCAGAAACAACTTCTGGATCGGCGCGCTCTTCCGATTCCACCCGTTTCAGTTGGTTCAAGTTTAGATGGAAATATTGGGAGCATAAGCTCGAAAGATGGAAGTTTCTCTGGAGGTGATGAACGTCGGCTCACTGTGCCTACACAAAATCGTGTCGACTTTTTCAATACTCTTCGAAAGAAAGCGGGCTTGAGTAGTGCACCAAATATTGTAGATAAATTGGACGTTGAAGCGGCGAAAACCGATGATCTTGTAAACGATGTAGATGTGGAAGTCGGCTTGTCAGATGAGATTGTGCGTCCTTTGGATGACGTTGGTGAGCAACCCGTAGTTGATTCTTACCCTTTGGAAAACGGAGACCGCCAAGAGATGGACACTGCTGTAGATGCTGAAGGAGCTGCCTCTGACGCTGGGGAGTTTGGCTCCGCGGCCGAAGAGAACGGAGCGTTAATAGGGAGCACGACGGAAGACGTCGTCGAAGAGCAGGTGTTCGAGGAGGCTGATGTGTCCCTGCAGCAGCAGTTGGCATCAGGGGATGGACTTTCCGAGCACGAGGAAATGCTATTTCTGATATCACTTGGATGGAGCCAAGCAGATGCCGAAGAAACGGATGCATTGACACAAGATGAAATCGATGCTTTCATTCAGAAGGTACAGACATGCTCGTGCTTTTCAAATTAAGGTCCTCGTCTTGCTGGATTTGATTTTACGCAACGGGTTTTGGTGATGAATGTGTCTGACATATGGCACTGTTATGTGAATTCAGCGCAACGAATTGACATCTTTACCAGGTGCTAAACTGCGCAATAGTAACCACCACCGCAACCACGGCCGAATGGATCTCAAGGGGCGAATGGATCTCAAGGGGCGAATGGATATCCAGGTGGGCAGCATCGGAAGCGAGACGTCTTGTGTAACCACTTCTGACAGTGAGTCCGATTAATAATTGGGTGAGGGATAGATATTTGAGCAGATGAGGGTGAGGGCAGAGGTGGGAACGCGATTCCACAGTCACCTCCGATGTGAGAGGTGAAGTAGATAGAAACAGATGACGAAGATGTGACGGAGGCGATGGTAAGGTGGAAGGCCGGCGTTGGAAGTGATGGGTTTCCTTGTGGTCTTGTGATGTTAGTGAGAGTGGGATGGGGCGAAGCTCAATGGAGTCTCAAAGAGGTGTAAGAGATTTGCAGCGGTCAATTCTTGTAGAGAAAGCAGAATGTATGCACTTGTCGAGCGTATCCCAGTATGATGGGCACAGGGCATTCTTAGTGAATGTTTGGGGTCATCGGAACTCCAAGTTTTGACCACAGATTCCAATTGGTGTGGCTGAGATTAGATGGCCACTGATGTCGTGTGCTTATTGAGAAACTTGTTTTTGAATTTTAAAAAGATTCTGGTTAACGAAGGGTGTTTTTTTGGCTTTCGTCCTCTGCGTCTTGGGACCTTTCTTGGCGTTTACTTGTGTTCTTCCATTACGAACGTGTGGTGGGGGTGTTGTGTGAGGTTCATTGCCTGTACAAGGACCCTTTTCGAAGCACTCTTCATATTTCTTTCACAGTGGTGCAGATTCCATGTTGGATTGCCTACTGCAGAGCACTTGGATAAGTGATAGTGTGCAGCTCAAATTTAGGGTGGGAGGGGCATTTAAATATACAGTGAATTGTTTTTTGAGCCCTAACAGGAATTAGTGCATGCCAAAAACATGCAAAAGTCTTCTTCTAGACAACTGAGCTGCAATAACCAGCAGGTTGTGTGAAAACAACTTGCGTAAGTGTTAAAAATAATGGATTGAGATTTAAACTTGATGTATTTTTTGTAACTGAGGCAAAATAATTGGTCTATATTAAAATCAAAGTACCTGGATATTTCAAATTATATGAATTAGATGTCTCAAATAAAAATAATTGGAATATGAAGCGAACAGACAACATGTATATGTATACTTAGAATGGTACTCATATGAAAACAAAGCAGTTTTTATTAACAAACAAAGAATATACAATGTACCAGAGAAATGTACAAAGTTGAGCATGTAGATAGTCCAGTAAGTTCTAAGAGCATCATAAAGAAAAAGAATTATATATATATATATATATATATATATAAGGTGCTGCTATTGCCTCCACAATCCCATGAAAGTTTTACTCAAATTTTAGTCAATATTTTATTTTTACTACTTCCATTACAACCATTTCATCATGATTCATTATATATTTAAATATATATATACTAGAAATATTAATAGTTTTTTTGATTGGAATGTTCTTGGTGTGATTAAGATCTAGAATCTTTTGAAATGTTTAATGAAAAGATTTTAGAGTGGGTATTCTAATGCCACCACAATTTTTGCTATTGCCACCACAACTTGCCACTTACTTGGCATATATTTTTAGTGTTTTTTAAAATTATGATTAATATTTTTTAAATAATATTTCATGAATATATTGAACCATGAAAATATTGAATATTGAATATATTGAACCATGAAAAAATAATTGTGATAACAATAGCAAAAAGAAACTTCTCACGAAAACTTGACTGAAATTTTCATGGGGTTGTGGTGGTAGTTGTAGTAAGAACTGTGGTGGCATTAGTAATACCCTTTTAGATATATTGTTCCATTGGTTAGAATTCATAGCAATTAAAAAAATATTAATGGCTAATTTATTTAGTTAATTTTTTTCTTAAGAAATAAAATAAATAGACATTGAATCAAGTTGTATTTCTTTGTTAACTTTCTACTTTACTATTTTGTTTACAACTATTGCATGTTGTTCTTTGCAAGAAAAATATAAATTTAGTTTTTATATTTACATAAATAATTTTTTTACTTAATTTATGCATAGAAGAAAAAAATAGAGAAATTAAAAAATGTGAATTTTTATTAACAAGAATCATACTTTTTCTTTTATCAACTAAAATATCAACTTAACTTATATTTTTGAAAAAAGGTCTTTAAATTTTGAATTTTAAATGTTTACAAAAAAATTTAAAAAATAAATAAAAGAATAATCTTAATAAGGCCTACATATTTATGAGATAATTTAGGATATTAGAGCTTAAAAAAAAATATTACACACATATTTTTTGAAAACATACCATTCATCTTAAATATTTTGTAGCAATTTTTTTAAAACATGGATATTTTGCTTATTGTAAACAATTAGTTTATTATAAATTACTTGTGTAATGTGTAAAAATAATAAAATTTCTAAGTAAAATAAGTATAATTTTTATAACCATTTTAAATTTAATTGAAACATAAGAAAAGTTTTTAGTAAACTTCATTGCACTTATTTCTATAATATCAAATTATGATGCAATTTTAGTATTATTAAATTATTTCAATAGATTAGTTCAAAGAATGCTTATTTATGAACCACTCTAATTAATAATAATTTAATTATATAATTTTTAAAATTTGATTATTAGAAATATCATACAATACTAAAAACTATTATTCTAAATTAAGATTCTATGTTTATTATTGTTCTTTGGCAAAAAATTATTAAAAAGTAAATATATTAAGCCTTTATTCTTTTATCATATATATTTTTTAATGTTTACATAGCTTCTTAAATATACATACTATCTCCAAATTATTTCTTAAAATTCACATAGTTTACAAAATAATGTTGAAATTTCTAGATGAGATGGAAGAAATGTTTTAGTTTTTGAAAATTTATTTATATATCATCTCAATCTAGCTTCCACTTTTCTACTTTTCAATCTTGATAAGTTTACATGGACTCTAGAAGTGGTGCATCCAAAGAATCCTAAACATTATTTGACCTATGAATCTCTCTTTGCAAAATGTGTTCTAAGTATAAACTAACTAATTTGTTACAAAATATCTACATACCTAGTGATTTATCAATTGATTACATTTGTGAGTATTCTATAAACCTCTTCTCTATTTCTTAAGGTAGCGGATGCCAAGATATGCAATAATCCTAGTAATTAGAATGTAGAAAATCAAAATGGTAATGCATGAACCTATATTGAGGTAATCAAGACCTAAGCTCTTAATTGTTTGTTCGCCAGATGTAATGGGGCACGCCCCGGCAACATACTCAGATGGACTGCATCTGATCTTCAAACCGTGCAACTCGTTCAGGGAAATAGCTGTGTATGTGTACTTGACATAGCTGAATGCATCCAGCCATACAAAGTAATCAGGGAGGTTCTTGGGTGATAAGAAAAACCCCCCAAAGAGGCGGTTAACTTCAAGGACCATTGGCAAAACAGTGACTGAGAAGTCAGTTGTCCTGCAAATAGCCGAGACCATCAGAGCAAGAGATGTAGCTGCCAGCTGGCACAATACCATCAACACCATGAAGATCATAAACTTGGAGCCATTTCTCTGGAAGCCAACCATCCAGTAGACTATGAACGAGAAAATGATGGGGGAAACAATCTGCGAAACCATCTCAGCTGTAACCTACATGTCATGAAGAACCCGTGTCAGAACCTAATGAAATTCATGCCATCGTCAGCAGTATATTATTTCAGTTGTAAACACTCTGCTGATTAATGGCAAGTAAGAATCGTTCTGCGAAGCTCGAGATAATTAAGAAATTCACCTTCGCTGTGAAATAGGATGAGCAGTAATACATTCCAGCTGCCCTTTCACGCAGTGTAAGAGCGCGTTCTCCAGGGAAAGAATTGATAACTGTCAATGCACCGAAAACGCCCTGGTTTATCACACAGAAAAACAGCACAGGTTGCCTACGCACTGTGGACTTCTGGTGGTCACCGATCTGGAAAAATACTCCGCCAATCAGTAGTCCCATCATCACGCTCTGGCACATTTGAGTTATCAGCATATTTTTCTTCCGAATTTGCTCTCTCACCCCTCTGTTAAGTAGCACTAAGTACTGCCGATGCCATGGCATCCTCTCTCGCATAGTCTGGAACACCAAGTATTCTGATCCTTGATTCATGTTTACCTGCAAAGTGAGAATTCAATGAAACGAGTCAGAGTTTTATTACACAAGAATGGTAACAAGATTGAAGAGAAACAACCAAATTGGGTCTTGACTTGTGAATCATGAAATCATCGTTCATATTCCTACAATTAGGGAACTTGCCGGGAGTGGATGGAATTTGGATTTTAAAACATCATCGACGTTTTTAAGACTCCCCTGAGGCCTATTCATGGACGGCGTTATAACATCCAGAAAATGATCAGCTGGGTTGGTATATTCTGGGCAAGGGAATCCAGAGTCCTCGAAAAGTTGAAGCACTTCTGATGCTTTGCCTTGATAGATTACCTACAAATTTAAAATAATGTCAGACATTGCAGATAGATACTCATGTATGCTAACTTTTCTTGTGGACTAAAGGGGATGAAGAATTAAACATTGTCGAGAATTCAACCTAGGTTGAAGTGTCGTACCTGACCAGCTTTGAGGATGATTAGGTAATGGAACAAGTTGAAAATTTTGGCTTGTGGTTGATGAATGGTGCAGACGATGGTACAGTTTGCTGAGCGTGCTAGTTTTTGCAACTGCTCGCACAATGAGAGTGCCGTAACACTATCTAAACCTGAAGGATCATATTCAACGGATCAAAAGCATCGGGTCAGTGATAATTAAGAAGGTGATTAGTGTATGTTACAAGTCTAATCACAAGATTCAGACAATATTTGCCAACGTGCCTGAGGTGGGTTCATCCAAAAAAAGGAGTTGTGGATGTGTGACCAGTTCCATGCCAACACTGACTCGCCTTCTCTCGCCTCCACTAATTCCTCTCTTCTCAGGGTTTCCAATGACTGTGTTTCGCACATGATCCAATCCCATCTGCGTGATAATCTCGTCCACACGTGCAGACACTTCTTCCTCTGTCAAAGACGGCTCCAACTTGAGCCTCGTGGTATACTTGAGTGTCTCCTCTACAGTTAGATGCGCATGCAGCAGATCATCTTGCATAACATAGCCAGATATTTTCTTCAAATCTGCAATTTTGTAATCTCGACCATTGAGAAGGATTCTGCCTGTAACGCTTGCTGATTGACGCATTCGACACGCCAGGGTGTTCAACAAGGTTGATTTCCCAGACCCACTCGGGCCCATGATAGCAGTGAACCCACATATTATTTGCCCATTCAAATTATTCAACAACACTTTTCCGACCCTGCAGTCTCCACAAAAACCAGCCACTGGTTCACATAAACTTCTTGTTCGAGGATCAAAAAGCAACTAAGGTGCAACTTCAAGGAATAATCTTGGCATCATGCAGAGGGTTTAACAAAAGATCTGAACTTACTTAGACATCACAGTCAGATTTTCCCATGACAGAACAACACCATCAGTCTGTTGAGGTGGTGCACTGCTTTCAACAGGCTTCGTAAACCAATTGGGGAAAATTGTCGGAAATGCACCACTTCCACCTTTTACCCGCATAGTGTCTCTCTTCAACTTCATGCTGCAACTTCTCGGAGTTGCAATCTTTCCGTAAGTGGCCGGCTTGGGCTGTAACGCAATCGCTTTCACAACTCGCGTGCCACTGTTGGGAGTGTTGATGTTCTTTTTTTGTAGAAACTTAGGCAATGGAAGCAAGATCTCTCTGACATTGCCAATTTTTGCAGTAGGCACTCCTTCCCCAATATTGAATTCAAACTGGCTCTTGGGATCTGAAGAACACTCACTACATGCTGGCGATGATAAACTGTGTCGGCCCTGCGCAAGCTGATTAGGGCAAATATCCAATTCGCATCCTCTGAATGCCATTCGCCCCCTCGGCTCCGACATGGCTCGTCCATGTGCAAGATTGGAGCGGAGATCTGATCTCCCTCTTTCAGGAGTTGTTAACATGGCTCGCTCATGTGTAAGTTGTCCCTCTGCATTCTGTACCTGAGACCCTCGTCTAGGATTTATACTGGCGGTCGGAGATGGCACGTTCTCCGATGTTGAGCGACTGCCTGAGCCGTTAGCATCAAGAAGAGATTGAAGCTGAGGAGCCTTGTAAAGAGAAGCCTCAGTGTAACTTTGGCAGTTGCTTCTTTGGGTGAAAGAAGACACAGGCATTGCATGCTCACATAGTCGCGACCGCGAAGGAGAACATGAGGGCCGGGGCAGGGATTCTGAATCAACATCTATTACGACTTCACCGTGCCCACTAGAATAGTATTGATGGTGATTCCGTTTGGGGCACACAACCAACTGGGGGCTCTCTCTGTTCCTAAAATCCAAGTGCAGGTAGATCCTCTTCTCATGATGATTCGATGAACTCGATGGCCTCGATGATCCATAGTCTTTTAGTTCGCAATTCTGACATGATTTGGCAAATCGTCCAGAGTTATCTTCAACGTAGCCCACTTGCTCAAATTCAGAATTCGTTTGATTACATCGTGCATCTTCTACACCACTTATCAGATCATGCCATTTTGAGCTGGAAAAATTAGAAAAACCTGCATTATTCGAGTATAATACTGACGCTTCAGTTACACCTGAGTCCGACGATGTCGTGAATGTTTGCGTTTGGACGCTGCTGCTTTTCTTCTCTCTGGACCATATTTTGGTTCCTGCATGCCTACATAGGGGACGTCCTTCCTCAGTTTTCTCTTTCCTCTTCTTCCCCATGCTTGAAAACTCAACTCATAAAGAGCTTTCGACCACACTCCTCATCTCCACCTAACAAAGAAGGTGACATACGGTCATGTCCGATTTCTGACATAAATTTGCTATTTACTTCACATGCTTTCGAGCGAAATGAAATTCACATGCATCCACCATATTCCACGTTAGGTCAACCATGTGCTCGGCGAGTCACACTGCACATCAAGGCTTCGATCTATGATAATTGAAAACACGACTCTTAATTTGAAACCTTCATTTAGCAAGGTTTCAAAGACCGTCGTGATTCTATTTCTCCCATTACAACTGTCCATTAGCAGGGACAGACATTCGATAGAGCAGCAACACTGCACCCAACCCTATATTCCATGACCTCAACCACAATGATGAGGTTTCCAAGAATTATCCACCAATATCATGCTCACATACATTACAGGAATCGAATTCACATGAATACCGCTCAAACAAGATCTGAGGACCGCCAAAATTTTAACTCAAAATACTACAAAGGAATTCAAAGTGGCATGTGCGCTCATACACATCATGGATTCACAAAAAATTGAAGAAAACTCTTATACACGCATACACATACAGAGAATAGGTTATCGCAAGGAAGCACAAAATTAAGCGTGCAGTGCGAGTTCGCTGCTTTCGTGACCATCTTAGAGGCTTGAACACCATCACAATGTGATCATCCTACGCAGACATACGTTCGTGTTTCAATGTACAGCGCCCCATTTCGTTCCTCTCCCAGCCGATACCCGCATCGTATCTTGCAGAGGATATCAGAAAGGGTATCCCTACACCCGCTCCTGTGCTTCATGTCGTAACAGCACAAGAAGCTCTAAATTCTCACAAAATACTGTCAATCGGAGCGCAACAAATTTGATGGCACTAGTTGCGTACGATTAAGCTACTGTAGCTTGTTAGTTTAACTGCACTTGTTATTGTGAACTAGAGAGTAATGACGATGGAGGCAGTTAGGAACGGTGCAGAGATAGCAGCTACGATCATGCACGAATTGGTGGAGGGTCGTGTCTATTTTCCCGCCTTCACCTATCAATATGCAGTGTGCCACGCCTAGCTATACATATACCACCCGAGGTGTGCATGCGTTGATTGTCTACTGCTATCAGTTTATTTCTTGGTATTTCAGTTGGTTTAGTTGTTTTTCGGCTTGATTGAAAGGTACAACACGTAGAATTGGAAGGTGTTTGAAGAAGAGTGGGTTGGAAGGGACAAGCTCCATATTATGTCGTCGAGGTGGACGGCAAGGAGAGCAAAAATGCTGCGTTGTTTTTATGTATCGCCCTAATCAGGTGCCAGCAACGCTCAGGTGCGTTTTGAAAGAGCAAGATGCAAGAGAAACTTATGCAGTCGAGATAGTTCGTTCTGAAGGTCCTTCGTGTGAACTTTGCTGATCTTAACTTCCTAACATTTTCTATTAGTTTTTTTCTGCAATAGCTGTCCGTCGCAACATATTCACACATCAATCAGTTTGGTCAACATGTTGCTAGCATTTGTGAAATTTGTGTGTCCATTCTATAAATGATGTCGGCATTCGGATACTGAAGGTCTAAATCTTTTCCCACATTGAGTTGTGACTGAAGACGTCGGATGCAGAATTATACCTCAATCTGCAAAGCCCAGGTTGGGAGAGCTCCGATCAATCTTTAGAAATTATAATCATGCAAACCTCCCCGACACGCAACAATGTCGTACCCAGCGAAAAGTTATTCAACAAAGCAGATTTATGCGGTGCACTCCACATATGCTTTCAATATTTGATGAATTACGTTGTCTAATCGATGCTCATAAAATCCATCTCTGGCGATATTTCACGTGATTCCTGGACTCCTCGCACCCAAAACCCATAAAAAAGAAAGAGGGTTTGATATGTTTTTGCAACCTTACTCCGCCACGTTGCAGGAGGGTAACAAAGAGTCAACAAGCGCTAAATCTAAGGTTGAGGTCTCCAAGTTCGGATGGGATGGGATGCAATCTTGCTCTGAAGATTACAGAGTATGACAAGAAGATCCAGAAATCATTACACAAAATGATTTGATTGTCTAAAACATCTTCCAGTGAGGACGCCAAATCATGGACTATCCCGGCCACGTCCAGGAATCTGTCTCGACCCACAATTCGAGATTCAAATCGTCGCTCTCTTCTAATCAAATATTGCTCTCGCTTTACTAGGGCCCAAGTCCCGCGATCGCCATCTGGCCACAGCGACTGTCACATTTGCCAAAACGATCTTACAATTGCGACTTCAAGCCACAGTATTCACTGTCTACGATTGTCACACTATTGCACCGCAGTTCAGGAAGGCGAGGAAGAAATAAGAAAAAGCCGTCGACACCATGTCGTCAATAGTGTCTCCACTCACATGGTTTTTCTTGTAGAAAACTCTTACAACAACCATCTCATCCAAAACTTTCAAAGCGTTCGAAATGAGCACCTAAGCCCAGGTTTAGTAGGACTACGTGTGGAACCACAGTCAACGCCCATCGTGCAAAATGTCACCTCAAACAGTTCCACTACCTCAAATAGAAATGTGCGGCTGCCGCAACCTGCGAACGAGATCTACTTTTATACAAACCAAACTCTACGAACGAGGTACTGCTTCAAGGACGTCAGGAAAAATGGGTTAATTGGTTGAATAGTGACTGAAGTAAAATTTTATTGGCTGTGCGGGAGTGCATGGCGTGATGGGGTCCAGAAGGTCTGCATAGGGTTACGAAAGTGTAGGTCCGAAGCCTACTCAACCTACGACCAGATGAACGGTAGTGCGTCATCTGCTTTGTTTCGAGAGGGTTCCTGGTTGCTACGCGTAATTCAGGGATCGTTAGAGAGTCAGTGAGTTCAATTTTTGGATTTCGGTGTTGATTTGTGTGACTGTGAGTTAGAATTGGCGGGGTGAGTATTGGACATTAGGTCGGTTGAGGATCTGGTTAGTTCTCGAGGTAGGGTTTGAGAGAGACCGTGTCAGGTAGGTCGATCGCCATGGAGGTGCGATGGGGTTGGGGAGCAGCGTCGCTGTGTGGGGCAATGTGGGTTTTGTTGGTGGTGGAGGTGATTTGCGTTGGCGCTGCGGTTGCGCCTGTTTTGAAAGCTGGTGAGACTCCCGTGTCTGCCCTGGAAGCTGTTTCGGTAAGTTCTTTGAAATCCGTCGATTGTGTTACAAAGATTGCTGACGAGGATGAGCGGGTTCGATGGAGTGGTTAGAGTGACTGCTCTTTCTCTGCCGGATTTGGGTGATTTCGGATTGTCGATGGTATTGTATAGTCCATCCAGAATCGCAGAGTCCGACAACTTGTGCGTGTTGAATTTTGCACTGTGTTATTGCCGCAAGGAAAGTCGCCTGATTCAAGTTGTCTCGAAGATTCTCGGTATTATCTTTGGTGTGGTACTGACTATTAGCTGTTAAGAACAATGATGTTCGAGAAAAGTGAAGTATTTCTTCGCACTTGAGGTTCCAGCTACAACCTATTTAAATCCCGTCAACCGTTAACGCTCAGAATCTCTCAATCCCCTCATGAATCTTGCGACGGTAATGGTTTTCTAGTATTTGTAGGTATTTTGGCGGTGCTGGATCATTTAAGGGAAGTTTGTCTCCAAAATCCATCCATCGCAGACGAATCTCGGCGTTGGTTTTTGGTTGCAGGCCGTTGTTATCCCGCAGTCCGTCTTGTACGCCATTAGGATAACACCCTGATATCAATTGAGTATATGTTTCTAGCTAGAGATTGAGTTTTTTCTACAAAATTTGGGGATGAGTGGAGAATCGTAATAACTGGAAGTCTTGGTGGTGGTGGTGGTGGTGGATGCAGGACACTCTAGACCTACTGAAGCAGCGCATGGGATGGAAAGCAGATGAGGTGAAGTTAGGTAGTATAGATACAAGGGACGCCAAAATAGGGCAGACTCTCATATACGAATTTGACATCCAGGTTGGTGGTGTAGTGATCCCGCTGCGGCTCTCCGAGGAGGTTACTTCATGGCAGTATTTACAGGAGCTTCCTGCTCCGAGTAGTGACGCTGAAGACAATGAGGACGGCAAGGGTGGTGGGAAGCAGGAAGTGAAGAAGGGAGCTGTGAATGTATGGCATCCTGAAGCTTTTGCTGCTACGTTAGCCCCATTTGAGGTGGCTGGACCCGTAGACCTTTGGATTCAAGACGCGGAGGAGCTGCGACTTGCTATGCCTGTGAGAACTTCTCCCTTGCAATGTCCTCCCTGAGTATCTGGTTCACAATGTAGCACTTTATTAGGAGCACTGAAAAGCCGAGAGAATAGGCTAAGTACTGTCTCCTCTCTTTTCACAACACTTGTTTTTCCCCCCTTCAGTGTACGCATATATCGTCCTGATGATGTTCTACTATTTATTTACACGTCAATTTTGCAGCATGATGTAGATGCAGGAGTGCTGAAAAGAGTATTGTTGGCTGATGGAGCCGTAGTTTCTGTCCAAGGAGCTCGTGAAGTGAGTCTTTCACGACCATTGCAATTGCCACTACCTCTCCCAAGAGGTCCAGATGGTGGACTAGCTGCCAGTCTTGTTGCACTAGCTGCTCGCCTCCGATCCGCATCTCGTGGACAAGAGAAACCCTTGCTCTCCCTTCGAATAGTGGGCCCTAGTTCATTGACGGCCGTGAAAACCCCTGCAGAGTCAAGCCCCGGGAGGTTAAAGGTCAAGAGGCTGGGCTCTGGAGCTGTTGAGCTAACATCCGCAGTGGCCAAGAAAGTAGAATCCAAGCCAATGACAGTGCCTTATGGACCCTTAGCCGTAACAGACAACATCGAGGATTTATACATGTGGCCTCTTCCTCACATAAACATGAGCAAACTGGAAGGCTTGGAGCAAGCACTAATGAAGATCTTGGGCAAAGAGGCGTACAGAAGAGGCTCCTTCCAACTCCTCAAAGCCAAGGTTTCTGCTGCCAGTTTTGTACAAATTGGGTTTGAAGTTGATAAATCAATCGACAAGGACGCCTTCGAAGATGACGAGCTTTGGCCTGAGTGGGCTACGAAGCCAAGTATAGAGCATTTGCAGTTTGAGCTTCTGACAATAGTGGAGGGCAAAAAGTTGAGGCCTGTCCAGGTTCAGCAATCTGAGTCAGTTATGCCCACAATTGCCGTCTCCCCCAACGTTGTGGATGGAAACCTCACCTTCGGAACTGTCCCTTTTTTGATGCCTCCAGGTGCCATGACTCTAGATGTTGATTTTGAAGGTGTTATAGATTGAAAGGTATAGTTCTCAAGGTTTCCTCTTATTCATTTTCTAAACACCGTAATTGTATATAGCTTCTAATAAATAGTTATTGTGCCACTGAGAGGTCGTGACTCGAGTTCAACTTCATTCTTGACAGTAAACGTATACTCACGTATTCTTGATGATTTTGAAAAAATGAATTAATAATAGTGAAATGTTTTCACTCTTAAATCACTAGTATAATTTTCTTTTTTGACAAAAGCATGTAATTTTTTTTGAAGTAACTGTTTTAATAAGATACATGCAATAGCATTGTCGTTCATGAATTAGCACTGAAAGGAATTTGAAATTATTGAATTAGGAAAACGTTCAGTTTTTCTTTCTTTTTGATGTGTTCAATATCGTGTCAAACAAATTTACAAACTAAAACTTGTAGTTCAGACGTACATTACTGTTGTGAATAGTGAAATGCTCACTGTCCATGAAATTTAGTGCTGCCTATTGTCCTTTTTATATTTTTTCAAAACTTTGTTGTCCTTCATTTACAAGGTGCCACTCCCTATTTCAACTTCAACTCTAATATGCTCTCTTTTCCACCTTCATTGCTAGCCAACTATGAATAAATGTTGCCTTCAAAGCTTAAGCTTACTTCATCATCTATTATTGTATTGAGCTTTTTAGTTAAGGTAGATTCATAGTCTTATTCCTTTAAGCGCTCATTTTTGTAATGTTAAGATGATACAAACCTTATCTACTTGTCTAATTGTAAAATACTTGCAAAGTGCTGTTGTTTGAGAGGCATTTTAATGCAATCTAAGTAACATTTCTTAAACTTGAGATTTTCAATTGCAATTTGTGATAACATATCACTCTAGATTTGAGAATCCGTTACAAAGTAAATTGGATTTCATTTGAAGCAAATTCATATAGATAGGCATTGGATACTTCCCAGTATGAGCTAACTAGATAAAATTTTGCTATTGTAGGTCCTTTCGTGTTGAATAGTCGGCCACATGTGAGGCCAATTCATTTGCTTTTGCATTAACATATATTCATCATGGAGCAATAGACCTTGAAGGAGGCACCATTGCAAGAGATCATAAATGAGGTATCTTCTAAAGTTCAAATTACATTGTCATAGTCTAGATTGTATCAATTATGCAAACATAAATGAAAAGGACCATCTATTAGTAAAAAATTTGGTATGTGCTTGCAATTGTCAATTGGTTGTTCTTTTGCATTCGTATAATTTCTATGATTGGCTTGCTTGACTTGTTCATAATCAAATTTAACTTAACTACTTTGAAGACAACATTAATTGAGGTGGCATAGTTTGCGGAGGGACATGTGCCACACATTAAGTGGCTATGATTGTGAGCAGTGCACAAATGGGCAACAAGCAAAATCCCTCAAACTTAAGGCCTTTAATTAAGCAAAATATTTTCTAATAGACATAATTCTTAAATAACATTTTCATATACTTCACATGTATCATAATTCATTAAAATCTAGTTTGTTTTTATAATTCTATGCAATTTAAATATAATCATGTGACTATTAATTTTTATATCAATTATAATTTAACATCCATAATCTACTCAATAAATTATTATAACAAACTTAAATATAATAAAATATGTTGAATAATTTTTTTAAAAAAATTATTTATTGTAAAGGATTCAAAATGTTTTATTACTTTTCTCTTGAAATATATTTGTTTTGAAAAATGAATGCCTAAGTGCAATCATATCATCACTTAAGTACAATAATATATATATATATATATATATATATGGTTTTACACTTAAAAAAAATAGAAAATAACTCCATTTTTTAAAGTATATAAATAGATTTTATTAAAAATATATTAAGGCTTAAATAGAAATATATTTTTTACATTAAAAAAATAATGTTTTAATTTTTTAATTTTTTAACTCAAGATATACTTTATTTTAAATCTAAAACATTTATTTTAAAATAATGAATGAAGAAATAAAGTACCATATTAAAGAAATACAATAACAAACTTGTCTTACTTATCTTATATTAAGTCTAATATAGGACACAAATGAATATGTGTAGAAAATGTGAGTGTAAATAGAGCAAAAAAAGAACAAATTTTTTTGGATTAAAACTCAATAACTACTTTTTGCCATCTTTTAAATGTTGTCTTATAACTATGTGTTTTAAAAAATATTTTCATATTCTCTTAATACAAGATACAATTTTTGAGGATTTTATGACAAATTTCCAAGATTAAATGTATTGTTCAACATAATAGGACTTGCACAATTTTTTTATTTCTTTTTTAATTTTTTAAATATAAACAAGCTTGTTTCACTTTAACTAATTATTTATTGTTCTTTTGTAAAAAAGTCAAGAATAAGTATTATAAACATTGTAAAGTAGTAAGAGCATTTAGTTAGATATATCTTTGTATTATTATAATTTTTTGTAATTTCAAAAGTATATACTTTCTATTATTTATGTCTTTAAACAAATTTTATAATATACTAAAAGAAATAGACTTAATAATATAAATAAATTATTATTATTAAAATAAATAAATATATATATATATATATGCAAGATTTAAATTTTATGTAAATTCTATATGAATAATATTATTTAAAATTTTAAAAATTCTAATAAATATTATTTACTATATAAATTTTGTTTCATATTTCTATTTTTAAATTTTGAAGAAAAAATATATTTAGAAAATCTATGTATTTATATTTTAACATGTATATTTACATATCATTTTATATAAATGTTTTGTGTAATTTAAAACTAAATCAAACTATAGTCACATTTTTATTTGGTTGAATATTTTGTATAAATGTGTTTAGAATTTTTACTTTTTAAAATAAAAGTATACCTATGTATGTTTTCAATATATTTTGAAGAATATATATATATATATATTGACATGTCAAACCAACAAAGGAGATGATCTTTGTTTTGAATTTCTTTTTGCAACATTTCTTTTAATTTAAAATGTTTTTGGCTTCTCTACCATTGGCATGAAAATGCAACATGAAAATGCAACATGTATACATGCTTTTTTTTTTGGAGACAAAATTATCTTTTTATAGAAAGACTATTTTATTGCATTGAGATCTCACTTTGTATTCAATCTTTTGTTCATTATACTATCATTGTTGACTTTATATCTTCTTTTTACTTGCTTTACTTAGAATCTTACAAATACATGTTTCTATATACATATATACCATATTTAAAATAAAAAAAAGTATTAAAAATCTATGGTTTGTAAAAGAATTGAAAATTACGTTTAAATCAACCAATTTTTTAAAAGTAAATAATAATTATAATTTCATTGAATATGTTAAGAACTCAAATTCAGGCATGGTGTGTCAATAATTTCAGTGCAATCAATTTATTCACATCAAAACAATGATTAAAATCAATGTATGGATCTCCACTCCCAGTTGTAAAATGCTTCTGTAAATGATAACAAAAATTTGTATCTTCTGTTAAAGAAAATAATTACTATTTTAATAAGATAAATGAAAATCAACTCATAATAAAATACCGTCAACCTTCTTCCAAATGAAAAATATTTATTCTACTTATAATGAATTATTACATTTAATGAAAAAAAAATCTATTATTGTATTGTTATACTTAGCATAGGTCTTTTGATTCGTTTTTAACAATTAGTAAATATGTCCTCTTTTGAATGAATTATTTTATATTAATTATTAAAAAAAAAATCTATCAAGAATATATGTTTTTTTCATATGTCGTCAAAGAAACACATCTTTATATTTCTTTGTTATTCTTTTTTATTTTTTAATACATTTATTGATAATATTTTCATCTGATAAATTTTAAAGGTGAAATAATATATTTAATTCATTTCAAAGTAATGCACATGATAGATACTTGTGACATTGTAGTCAATCATAGCCAACTATACATATACAACCTCAATGTGCCTATACTATGAAAAAAGAACATATTTTAGTATGGAATTATGACATCAATTCATCTCTAGGTCTTAAAAGAGGTTTTCAAACAAAACAAGGATATTTTAGTGCATACAATTATTTCATATTAAATTTGGAAGTAGGATGCTTTGAGAGGGTGAAATTAGAGTGAGTTACAATAACATAATCATTGGTTTCAGTGCAATACATGAAAAGGCAATATGTATCGTGAAAGACCATATGTTTTTAGTGATTTTGGAATATTTTTTTGGTAATTTCGGCATCAATTTTGACACCATCTGAAAAACATAATTTTATTATATCAAAGATATTTATGTATTTTCTTAGTCTTTTGAAAAATAGTTTTTACTTTTATTTTTTAAATTACAAGTTCTTAGTTTTCAAATGTCAAACATTTATGCAATAATTTCAACTTGTAGAAAAAGTGTTTTTTACTTTATTTTTATTTTTATTTTTATCTATATGTTTAGATATATATATATATATATATATTATTAATCAAGTTTTTTTATTATTTTATATTTATATTTATATTTTTTATAAATATTTATTTTTGATGATAATAGATAGAATTAATATAAAAATACATGTTTCTATAAAAACATTACAAATAATTAGGTCCTTCCAATGAATGATAAATTTTTAATGTAAGATGTTTGTTATGAATTCGTTACAAATTGTATTCTATACTAAAAAAAACGATAGAATGATTTTTAAACTTGTAGTTATGGGATGGAAATTTTGAAAAGGCAAAAAGTAGTTATTGAGCTTTAAATACAAAGCCGCCTCTTTTGTGTAGATCTATTTATAATGGCACTCATTTGTGTCCTATATTACACAATGTAAAACAAAGTTTCCAATGTCCTACATGAGAAGGCCTACTAATAATAATATAATTACATCCTATAGTTTAACATGTAGCAGTAACTATCTTATTATGTTAAGATCTTATTTAAAACATAATATACAATAATTTATTTGTTTAGCTTTTAACATGAAAACATAATTTACAAACTGTAACTTAAAATCAACAACATCCAAATATTTTATTATCTGAAGAATTTATTTGCTTTTGGTTGTAAATAGAAGTATAAAAAAATTTAACATTTCTTGTTTAGTTATATATCTATCTACATATATATATACATATATTATTAACATTATAATAAAATATATATTGATTTAATTTTTTTGTATAAAATCAAAATAATAGTCAACAATTAATTTTTTAAAGAATATGTTGAATTCTAATTT